CAACTGTAAATTGAGTTACCCGAGTTACCTGAGTTACAGTTGAGGGAAGTGAAGGTGGTCCAGTGCAGTGCCTGTCCCCTTGTGTACTGAAGGCTTAGTATAAAGCGTCTTGTGTATGTAACCTACTTTTACAGTTGTATGTCCTATTAATACCACTTTCTGACCTAGTTGTACCACTTTGTCCCATTTTACCACTTTTGTCCTAGTAAGCACCACTTTCTGTCCTAAAATCACTCCTGGTCACGGGGTACCAGTACAGTGGTGAGGGCAGAGAACAAGGGACTTCCGCTTCCTGCCCGAGTCTACTAGCATATTGTACCACCACCACTACCACCATCACCACCACTACCACCATCACCATCACTACCACCATCACTCACCGCACATCTCAACTCCCACCACCATCAACCATCACCATCCCCACACACAACCAATAGAAGTTGTTGTTATTATCACCTGGCGCAACAAATTATATCTTGCTTCTGTTAACGGTGGTGGAGAGGAGTCAGCTGGTGGGTGAAGCCTTCCTCACCTCCTCCAGCTGCTGCCAGATATCCGTAAGTCGTGTCAGGTGTCCGGATGACCATTTGTTTACGTTAGAAAGCCGGTCTATAGTTCCGAATATTCTGGCGTTAAAATTTATTTAAGAAGGGTTTGTTGACCGTGAGAACCACACCTTGTACTTTTAATTCCTGCTACCACACCCTGTCACTACTACCACACCCTACCATGACTATCACATCCTGTTACTGCCCTCCCCTGCCACTACCACACCCTGTCACTGCCCTCCCCTACCACTACCACACCCTGTCAGCACACTTCCCTGCTAACACCACACCTTGCCATTATTATAATAATTTTCTTCCTCAACTATCAACACGAGAGAGAGAGAGAGAGAGAGAGAGAGAGAGAGAGAGAGAGAGAGAGAGACCAGACTAACCCACTTGTGTGTGAGGGAAAGTTTCATCATATGTAGAACAGAGTTGGAGAGGAGGGGGAGCAACTAGGAGCTGCTAGGAGAGGGGGAGCTGCTAGGAGAGGGGGGAGCTGCTAGGAGAGGGGGAGGGGGGAGGAGAGGAGGGGGGAAGACTTCACGTAACAGTATGGGAAAATAATACTCATGTGACGGGGTGTTATATGGCGTCACGTTTGCCGTCAACCACAACCCCTAGTAGTCACGTAACAGCAGCTTCGTCACACCACTCATGTAACACAGTACCAAAACGTTACCTATACAAACACGTCCCCATAAAAACGCTTCCTTTACACACATGGTTGTTTATACCTGTGTTAATTTTCGTAGATTAGTTTATTATCAATTGTTTTATACCTGTGTTAATTTTCGTAGATTAGTTTAACTTGTAAACATTGAAAGTAAAGACGAAAAAAACATTATATCACAGGTCATGTTTACACTTTCGATGGCTAGTTTGTGTTTACTTACGAGTTTGTTAAAGGTTTATTGTGATTATCCACTGGGTAAACACAAACAAGTCACACCAAAACATGACACAAGAGACGTTGATTATAAACAAGGTAGGGGAGGGGGGAGGGGAAGGGGGGAGGGGGTAAAGGGGGGAAGGGGGGGTAAAGGGGGGAAGGGAGGGGGAGGGTAGGGGAGACTTCAGAGTTACTTCCAAACGCAAATAATCTTCAGAACCCCTCTCCCCACCATCACCTCCCTCCCCCCACCCCCTCCCCCTCATCACCAACAGTTATCAACACCGCTTACCCACGTGACCGCCTTTAATGATGTAGTCTATTGGCCACAGTTGCCAGATCACCGCCAGATGGTAACACAAGAGGGACACTTAATGACTCAGATTATTATTTCTTTTATTATTATTGTTGTTGTTATTTTATTAGTATTATTTTTATTATTAGTTTTATTATTTTTGTTTAATTATTTTTTTTTAATTCTCTCTTATCGTTAAAAAAAATTATGATCTTATATCAATAAAAATAAAGGTTTTGCACTTACACTCTCGTATTGCAACAGAAGGATGGGAAAGGCTGTGTAAACATTAACCTGATTGTGTGTGTGTGTGTGTGTGTGTGAACTGGCAACTCAATGCCCCGTTACTGTGTAAAAACGATGACGTCACGGCCCCTGCGTGGCTGCCAGTGCCAAACTTGAGAGGAAAAATAACGTCCCGCACCCACACACCGTCACACTACAAAACGTATAGTGTGTCACCATTTTCCCTTAATATATGCAATGACCGAGTGTCACTACAGTTTCAACACCATCTTGGGAACACTGTAGAGGCCCGGATGGTGTAAGACGGACACACACACACCAAATCGAGGGTCCATTAGATGTGACACTTCCATCTAACGATACCTGACGATACACCTAACTTACGACACCTGACGATACACCTAACTTACGACACCTGACGATACACCTAACATACGACACCTGACGATACACCTAACTTACGACACCTGACGATACACCTAACATACGACACCTGACGATACACCTAACTTACGACACCTGACGATACACTATACGACACCTGACGATACACCGAACTTACGACACCTGACGATACACCGAACATACGACACCTGACGATACACCTAACTTACGACACCTGACGATACACCGAACATACACCTGACGATACATACGACACCTGACGATACACCTAACTTACGACACCTGACGATACACCTAACATACGACACCTGACGATACACCTAACATACGACACCTGACGATACACCTAACATACGACACCTGACGATACACCTAACTTACGACACCTGACGATACACCTAACATACGACACCTGACGATACACCTAACTTACGACACCTGACGATACACCTAACATACGACACCTGACGATACACCTAATTTACGATACCTGGAAAGTGGCACAGTGAGCGTCGGTGAGGTTGTGTACAAAATTAGTTACAACACGACCGGGAATTAAAGTGTTATGTAAGGTTATTATTTAAAGACTAGACTAAACGGTGGGTGTGTGTGTGTGTGTACAGTAGATTTCAGCTTATGTATGTCTGTGTCTGCATGAATGTATGTATGTATGTATGTATGTATGTATGTATGTATGTATGTGTGTATGTATGTATGTATGTCCAAGGAGAACAAAAACACGAACACAATACCATCTCACCAAATGACCTTTAACCTCGATTAACTACCTTCATACCTATTACCACCACACCTGACCTCGTAGGGAGAGAGGGGGGGAGAGGGTTAATTAGTTCCTTGGGTAATATTATGAACAATTAGTCTCAGAATCTTTAAAAAAATCATCTTTGTTTTGTAGTTGTCGCTGCTGTCGTTGTTATGTTGTTGTTATTGTCGTTACTGTTGTTGTTGTTATTGTCGTTGCTGTTATTTTTATTATCATCACCATTACATTAAACACCTATGCTATTAATACTATTATCCCTATTACCATCATTATCCTATTATCACCATCACTACCATAACAACTTATTAGAATCCCAGAAATAATATAATTCCTACCATTAACATAATTACCCCCACAAAAAGAACATCAACAAACTACTATTATATTTTATCGTAATATTATCTTTACTATTAACACATCATAACTACTACCATTAATAGATTCTCAGAGGTAATTATACGCGTAATTATCTCAACTATCATAATTCTCAAAGGTAATCGGACATGAACTATGTTTTGTGGTTGACAGCTTCACAGTCACCTACAAGCGTCATGTGTGTTGGCTTCCTCTTCCGTTCCCAATTTACTGAGAGTTCCTTCTAATTGACTACGTGACGTATTACTGTCCGAGACCCGCCTACGTCTTCCATTCTATCCAATCAGTGGGGTGTATTTGTCTAAACTCCGCCCTCTTCTTCCTTTTCGGCCAATTAGGGTATAGAAATTGTCCTAACTCCACCTGCTTCTTTAATTCAATCCAATCAGTGTGATGTATCTGTTTAACTCCGCCCAATTAAGCAACCTACCTCCAAAATTTGCTAAATTGGGCAACCAACTTGCAAAATCCGCCAAACTAAGCAACCTATCTCCAAAATCTGCTAAATTAGGAACCAACTTGCAAAATCCGCCAAACTAAGCAACCTATCTCCAAAATCTGCTAAATTAGGAACCAACTTGCAAAATCCGCCAAATTAAGCAACCTACCTCCAAAATCTGCTAAATTAGGCAACCAACTTGCAAAATCCGCCAAATTAAGCAACCTACCTCCAAAATCTGCTAAATTAAGAACCAACTTGCAAAATCCGCCAAATTAAGCAACCTACCTCCAAAATCTGCTAAATTAGGAACCAACTTGCAAAATCCGCCAAATTAAGCAACCTACCTCCAAAATCTGCTAAATTAGGAACCAACTTGCAAAATCCGCCAAATTAAGCAACCTACCTCCAAAATCCGCCAAGTTATTTTATGAAGAGATGAAATAGCCCCGACTGACTTGACCTTCATCATTATTATTATTTTCAATTGTTATAAACATTGTTAGTTTATTATCAACATCATTATTACCACACAGCAACTGGAACAAACGCAGCCACTCCACCAATCCCTGTACAGCTCATTAACTATTTATAACAACCTCACGTATCAAGTCCAATTTTATTACAACTATTACAACTTCATCTACTCAGGAAAAATTATTGGTCTACGGACGGACGGACAGCACACGACCATACTCCATGAAGTACAACTCATACGAACTTAAATTGACCTTATGAAATGATAAAGCTAACATGACTTATCCCTAACATTATCAACCCACAGTGTCAGTAAGAAAGGTCGGGTCCGGTTCAGTCTGTTAACTAGTTGGGGTCAACAGGTGGTAACACGGGGTGACAGAGTTTGTCATATTGTAACACTGGTGGTGTAAATGTTCGGCACCCAGTGACTGTCCCTCACTGGGCGTGTTGTTCACCATTAAGGGAACAATAAACAAGGCAGGGAGGTAGGAGGGTGCCGTTAGTGGCGTGTGGCTGCGGCAACCCAGATCACTGACCTGACGACGACTGGTTGTCGATGGGATCCAGATCACGATCGTGGGTGGGAGACGGGGCGTCATCGCTGCCAATACCGGACGACCTGGCCGAGTCGTCTTCCTGTGACTTGCGGGCGGCGGCGGGCGGGGCACGGCGGGCGTCGGGCAGGCGTCCACGAGAGCGGTTGAGTGTGTCATAGTCCTTGGGGGGCAGGAGGAGAGGCGCGCCCCGCGATCCCAGCTTCTCCCTCAGCTCGGCCGCCAGGGAGTCATAGAGTGTGGACATGCCGGGCCCTGTGGCGGCCGGCACCGCCGTCGGTGACCGCCCCGAGCTGCTGCCACCTCCACCCGACGACGTCGACGACCCCGTGGAGGCTCCGTCAGAGCCCCGGGTGGAGGGGGGCGGTGGCAGGAGCCCGCGGGCAGCCAGGCGAGACTCGAGGGCGGCCAGCTTGGCCTGCTGCTCCGGGTGGTCCACCAGCTGTGCCAGGTGCTCCCGTAGCAGGGAGGCCGTCTCTGTGGAGTCACAGCGATAGGTGTGCACATGGACGGGGCAGCGGGTGAGGGGGTTGTAGATGAGCAGGATGGCTGACACGATATCATCGTCGGGGCGCGCTTCCTGCTGCACGAAGGTGACGGCCGAGGCGGGGATGAAGTGCTTGACGGGGGCGGTGGAGCGGCCGTGAGTCCCCGCCTGCAGCAGTTTAATGCCCCGGCCAGACACCTGCAGCGTCACCTTGTCTGGTTCCTGCTCGCGCTCCCTCCCCACCAGGTAGTGGACGACGGGCCTGACGCAGTCAGCGCCTCGCAGGCCGCGGCACTCCTCCGCTCCCAGGAACCACACGTAGTAGGACGCCTTGCGCACCTTAGCCACACTGGAGGGCGGCCCAGAGCAGCCTCGCTGATCCTTGTGCCTCATCCTGCCGGGTCACCTCGCTCCACCTCACACCATACAAACACTCACTCACGAACACTTAACACAGACCATCTAACAATATCTTCCCTTAAGATAAATCAGGGAACAAAGGCTTATAAATTTATAATTTTTTTCCAGATGCTTTTTTTTTCTATTGCGAGAACTGTGGGAGTGTTGGCCACTGACAGGGGTGAGGAGTGAGGGAGGTGACACACACGCGCGCGTCTCCACACTCAGCGAGTAACTGAACCCTTCGGATTATTTCCGCACCCAAGAAGGTCGTCCGCTACCCGCGCGCCATCTCCCGGCATGAGTCAAAAGCTGCTAGACAGGTAACATACTGAAAGTCCCACCTGCCGTTTCCTCCGCCAATCGCAACTCCGCTTGAGGCTGGGAAAACAACACTGCTGGATAGCGGCTAGTCGGCAAGATTTCCAGGGCCGAGCAGGTACAAGTTGCAGACTCACCAGGGGTGGTGGTTGGTCACCTTTGACTGTCGAGTACCTTGGTGTAAGAGCACCTCGGTGTGTCCGGGGCCTTCTGTAGGTATGTCCTGCCTCTACCTAGCTTCCGGACACACACACTTACCAACTATTACAACAAGTGGGAGATTTCGACGCGCTCCACCAAGTGATCTTTAAGGCTGGCGGGAGAATGACCTCCTCCGCCACACTCCCGCCTCGAGTATCACCTCCCCACACTGTACTCGCCTTGACTGTAACTTGGAACACTCTCCTGTACTGTATCTTGGAGGAGGTAAAGAGGAGTTATCTCTCTCAAAACATAATATTATTACAAAACTCTCTCTCTCTCTCTCTCTCTCTCTCTCTCTCTCTCTCTCTCTCTCTCTCTCTCTCTCTCTCTCTCCTATTACAGGTATTCACAAGGAGTGTATTATATACTTAACCTAACCTAACTTACCTTTATCAAATTAACTAAAATATATTCAAAGATTGTTCGGTCAGGTTAGGTCAGGTTAAGTACGTTAGGTAGGTAAGTCAAGTTAGACTAGGTGGGCAGGTAAGTCAGGTCAGGTTAAGTACGTTAGGGAGGTAAGTCAAGTTAAACTAGGTAAGTCAGGTCAGGTCAAGCTATCATTAAGGTAGCTAATCTTCACATAACACCACTCCTCATACAAACACACACCGACTTCCCATACAGACCACATGATAGCTTCAAATCGACCGTGATAATAATTTAAACACTTATATCCTGTTCAAAGATAAAGATAAATTTGTATCGTAAAAAAATAGGGTGTAATATGCTGTACCGGCGAGATATAAAGGACAGTGACCAGAGGGAGTTGTAGACAGTGACCGTAAGATAAAGATTAAAAAGAGACGGAGGTTTACTGACAGTATATACAGAACCTGTCTAGAACGGACGGACAGACGAAGGGACAGACAGACAGACGGTCACTCGTAAGATCCGACGAGATGGAATGACCAGTGTACACTTTCAAAGGTTTACACAACGGGACAAAATGAAGGAACTTTATTTTATTTTCATTTTATTTTCCCTCCATGTTGATTTTAGTGATGAGGACAAATTGATCAAGAGAATGACGTCAGAAAATGATCAAGGTTGAGGTGTATTTGATCAGCTGATTTTAGTGACTAATTACCAGAGGGGCGGTGACTGGTAATGATATTTTTAATGGTGATTCTTGGTGAGATAAGCTTAAATGTGGTGCCGGATGGTGAGGTAAGCTTAAATATGGTGACGGATGGTGAGATAAGCTTAAATATGGTGCCGGATGGTGAGATAAGCTTAAATATGGTGCCGGATGGTGAGATAAGCTTAAATATGGTGTCGGATGGTGAGATAAGCTTAAATATGGTGCCGGATGGTGAGATAAGCTTAAATATGGTGCCGGATGGTGAGATAAGCTTAAATATGGTGCCGGATGGTGAGATAAGCTTAAATATGGTGTCGGATGATGAGATAAGCTTAAATATGGTGTCGGATGGTGAGATAAGCTTAAATATGGTGCCGGGTGGTGAGATTAGCTTAAATGTGGTATCGGATGGTGAGATTAGCTTAAATATGGTGCCGGACGGTGATTTTTAAGCTTACATTCTTGTACTGGTGAAAGTGGTGCTACCCCAGGTGCTAGCAGGGGGTTGGTGTAAAGTGGGGCTCGGCCGTAGGCGTCACCATCACCTCACCAATGTCACAGTCAAGGTTATGGTGACACACACACACACACACCAACCCCAGAATTATCTCCCAGCGTTATCTCTCGAAATTACCATCATCAGAAGATATTATCGATGCATTCCAAACACACACACACACACCTGTCACTCACTACCTGGAAATAAGCCCCAATTAACGACACATACTTCGGGGAAACAATTTGCTGAGTTATCCCTGTATCTTCTTCACTTGTCCATTTCCTTTATGATTTTCGATGGCAGGGGTGATGGTAAGGTGTGGCAGGGGTGGTGGTGGGGTAGGGGTGGTGGTGGGGTGTGGCAGGGGTGATGGTGGTGGTGGGGTGTGGCAGGGTGATGGTGGTGGTGGGTGTGGGGGGTGGTGGTGTGTGTGATGGTAAGGTGTGGTGGGTGGGGTGTGGTGATGGTGGTGGTGGGGTGTGGTGGTGGTGGGGTGTGCATGGTAAGGTGTGGAGGGGTGGTGGTGGGGTGTGGCATGGGTGGTGGAGGGTGTGGCATGGGTGGTGGTAGGGTGTGACAGGGGTGGTGGTGGGGGGGTCACAAGGGTGGTAATAGGGTGTGACACTGGTGGTGGTAGGGTGTGACACTGGTGGTGGTAGGGTGTGACAGGGGTGGTGGTAACAATGGCAGGGTTCCCGACAGCTCAGATTATCGTCTTATTCTGACCTTCAACTTTCACTCAGGAAGTTCCAGTCGCAATCTCAGACTTGCCTGGAACCGTCGTGTCCTGGAACTACGTACTGGAATCTTGTCCAGGGTCAATGTCCTGGAACTATGCATTGGACTACAACCCCAAGATCACACCACTACGATCACAACCCTGAATCATAACCTAAGGATCATAACCCCCCAACTCACAACCCCTCGATAACAAACATAACCACAGTTTCCTCCTGTATACACTAAACAATAAAAGTCATAAGAGAGCGGCAAAACACAGACAGCTAGTGAGCTTATTGTGACGAAACAACAACAAAAAATAACAAAAAAGTTTAAAAATTCTCATGGTGTTTATTTTTAGTCCCTTAGGAAAGTTAAGGATAATTATGATCACCTGAAGATTAGGCACCCTCGCTCTATCAAGGAAGGGTTAGGTTTAATTAATATATCAGTTAAAATAAGCTTGGGCGCCTAATGTTCAGGTGATCCCTTAAATTAAGCAAAAGCTCCACCAGCTTAGGCTTATCAATAAACCAATGACATACCAACCATATGTCATTGAGGCATCCAAAAACATCTAAGCAAAATTGAGATGAATATTAAGATTCTCGTGGCTACAGTACTCAGTTGGGAACTCCAGCTGGGCCAGACTGGAGGCGACGTAGCTTGGAAAAGTCGCGTATCCTTATGTGTTGTTATGTTTGGTGATATGCTTCCTGTAGTAGGGGCCGGCCCGTGATGGCTATTCTCACATTTCACAATTACCAAACGAACCCAACCTAACCTAACCTACCATAGGCAACACATTATGCTTCCAATATCTCTCTCCGTGTCCGTTTACAACCAACCTGCTCACGTCCACCAAAAGCGTAAATTACACCATTACTTTCATTGTTACCACAGATCATCATAATAAGTAATTTGTTTAATATTGCGTGGAGTCTGGGGATGGAGCCCCACGGCTATGAAGTTAAGTAAGTTTCTTTGGTTAGGTTAGGTTCTATTAGGTTCTTGTAAATGTCGCCTCTTAAAACACTTACTTTAGTGATAAGAACATCTGAGGAAACAAATAATAAAATCGATCAACTCCTTCTGGTGGTAGAGGTGTTCTCTTACATTACCAAAACTTCTTCCTTTTCTCAAAAACATAAAAAATTGAGGAATAAAATTGTACGACGCCTTACATAACCAAAGAGAGAAACAAGTAACCTAAGGAACCAAACATGATTCTGTCCACCCGGGAATTCTTATTACAGAATTAGCATATATTTTGTTAGTTTAAATTAGTTATCATCTTTCCTATTGGCAATTTCGTATATTTAACCACACAGACTTAACCTAGCGAAACATGACAATCAGATTTATTTTCGTTCAAATTATCCTCTAATAACGCATGAAATGACTAAAAATAATCAACGTCACAGGCGAGGTGTGCTGACAGGCCTAAAATGGCGGGAGTTCACCAGCCATCCAACTTTTATCTTCCCTAAAGGACTAAAAACACCTCCATTATGGAATCCTATGGACACTGAGTAATAAGTTACTAATGTTGGTGTTCGTGAGTCAAGCTACAACCATGTGATGACGGCATATCTCTTACCTTGATAATCACTGTTCCTTGAAGGAGTTGAGCCTGACACCATGGTCCATTATACATTTCGGATATAACACAAGGATGACTGTACAAATATGCCTGAGGTGTCACAGCTTATACTACAGCCCTTTAAAAGTCCTGTTGATGTGCCAGAGATAAGTCACAGCTATGGCAAAATGATTTAAGGTCAGTGTACCAATCGGCCGACCAGCCATCACTTAAAGACCACCACCGGGTGTGTTGTCTCGCCGTCCGCGTTGCCAGACATAAATGAAGCCATAAAAATAACACGGCGTGGCACTACTGAATTATCGTGTATTAATAAACTTATACGTTTTAATTTTTAATTGGTAATATTTTAGGTAATAAATGCTAAATGTAAGTGATTTTTTTCCAATTTATATTAGTTGGTTTCTTTTTTTATTCTCAATGCTGTTTTTAAATGTGTTCCCCCAATTTGTGTATTTTTTTAATGTCTATGGACCTGAAAATCAGATAAAATATTTTTGTAGTAATTCACTTCCTGACAGAAATCATTCTACTGAGACTGTATTCTGGTATACCTTGTCATACAGAGTATCTTTTAAAGGAACGACGGCATCTAATTAGCATATTTTGCTAACGTGTGACATGTCAATCAAACCAAACCTAGTGCACTTGAGCGGGGATTTATTTGTAAGAGAAATAAAGCGGTATTTTGTTTCCATTCGTACACACACACAAACACTTTCATCTGTAATACTGTGTTTATCTGCCTCATATATAAAGAGTGTCATTGGTACCATGGAATACTAGTACTGTATATGAGACTTAATTGGTACTAATGTACTGCAGAAGTCAGCGTCGACAACCTAGAGGATGACGTCACGGTGCTCAATGGCGAGTGTATGAGTAACTGAAGTAGAAAGAAATGATGTGTAGAATACAGAGTTAAGTAGTATGAGCGAAGGGAGAAGCAATTTAAGGGAGGAATGACGTGAGAAACATGCTACACCAGGAAATAATACTGTAATTACGTACTCTATCCAGTGACGTTTCACACAGTTCGGGGTACTGTACGTATATAGGATGAACAGGTATTACTTAAAAAATGTTACAATGTTCGTGAGTCAATATTCTTGTGACGTCAGCATTTCTCAGTCACAATTCGTTGAACACTGTCGTCACCCACGTTTAGATAGGGTTGAAGTTCCAGAATATGACTAACCAACAATTCACAACTGTAGCGCAAAATTATCCACGATTCACCGCCGTTCTTTGCTCTGTATTTATTTTGTTTACTTATACAACAATATCTTCCCTTTTTTGGGGTCACGAAAATCGCTTAATAACTTTTTCCATGAATTATACTGTAGATACTCATATGAACCCTGAGCTGACAAGTGATACCAAACCCTTAACACCTTCACCCCAGAGTTTACGAAACCATTGATTTAAGTAATGAACTTTAATTATGATGTTGAATAATTTATGGTATATATTAGTTATGACTATTACTATCCACACACAAGAAATTACAGAAATTCAGCTGGAGTTGGAAGATGTCAGTATTGTAATGCTTAGAGGAATTAACCAACCAGAGCACCGTCCTCATGAAGGTTGGCGACCACAGTCCTCCACTCGAAGCGTTTTGGGGCTGTTTTTTACTAACCCTCTAAGGTTTTGTATCTCTGTGGGGACCAGTTTTTAATTTCATTTATCCCTTCCAGTCTCTGCCTTCCCCTGGCCCTCCTACCCTCATCCTAATTATATGACAAATATCAATTATTTTAAGTCGTTTTACAATACTGATATTATCTATATCAAAATATAAATAGTCAGCATAATAACTCGTCCTCTGGTGTACCAAGCCAACCAGTCACACTACTGATAAACCACACAGCATTCTTTTAACTCACCACTTCCCGGGAGAGAAATTAGACTACAGGATACATTTGAGAACATTGAAAAGGCAAATAAAAACAATTCTTATCTAACAAATTAGTCATGTAAGATATAAACAGAAATGAAATACATGTACTTACCACAAGTTGGCTTCACAGGGGCTAGGAAGAGTGAAGAATGCACATGAAGTGGCTTGTGTGTGATGCAGTGGGGTGAGGTTGGCAGTACGAGGTAAATAACGCTGATTTGTATGCAGTGTGAGGCACAGGACGCTTGTTTGATTGTGTTATTCCTATTTACAATTATTATTACTGCTTCAAGTAATTGATCACAAATGTACTGATGGTCATGACCCCCAACTCCACATATGCTTGAGGGGTAGAAACACCTGGTGAAATGTGTGAAGTTCAAGGACATGATTCCTACATCACTAAAATTGAAATGCTACTGACAAGGGAAGCTGGGAGCCTAGGAGGTTCAGGTATGAGTTAAAGATAAACCGCCTGCATGGCAACTCAGATAGTATTGGGAAATTACAATATATCAAATGACATGAATGGAAGCCTGGGGGTTAGGGACTTGTGATCAATATGTTGTATTTTGTTTTTAATTATCATAATGACTGAATATTTTCAAAGGATTTGTCAATTGGACTTCCTGCTATTCTGGACTCACAAAAGTACAGTATTTAAACAAGATTATTTCTAACTCCAGGTGATAAAGTGTTTTCAGCAAATCATCTCGTTTTCACAAAAAATTTGATAATATAAGTTTTGTTAAAAATCTCAGTAGCATATAGAGGTACATCTCCTTCACCTACAGAAGACCCACTGTGTGTTAATTCTTTGATGAGGTGAAACAATATATACAAAAGGTTAGGAATACTCTCATTTATTAAACCATGTAATAATGAATATATTATAATTAAACTTTAAATGTAAGAAACCAGATATATATGTCTTGGAAGGCACAAGTTCCGGTAGGTTGACTGAAATTCTGAAACATTTGTCCTGGCTCACAAATCTTGATTGATCTTGGTGCATAAAACACTTCAGATCTTGTACAAAATATACTAACACTAAAGAGATCATGCAAAATTATATCTTTATTTTTATTATTTTCAGAATCCCAACAACCTTATCATAAAGCACAGATCTTGCACACTTGGAATGTTTCTTCACAGCCTAAAAAAATATTAATAAATTGTACATATTTGTGCCATACTCTAATCCTGTACATAAAAACGGAAGCAGATATAACTATGATAGTAATTACAAGGTATATTGTACCACCCAAAAATAAATCATTACTGTAATACTTTATAATACCATATTGACCTACGAGACATTTTATGGAACAATAACACAAACACAGCAGAATCAATAAAGAATACCATTAATAAAAAGTTTTAGGTCCAATAGTGTACGAAGTTTAGCACTGTGGAGAATCAAAAGCAGAAAATTATTAATTAAACCCAGTTCCCAATTATTTCTATATCTGGAATTCTCTCATGTGTACAAAACATGGACTCTTCTCACTAACACAAACAAAGTCTAAATAACTACAACCAGCTAGTGAAACAGGCACTTCATACCCTGAATGTCAAATGAGGCTAAAATATTATATTTCATAAATATTGGTTTTCTAGAAAATTAATACAATATGATGATGGATAAAACGATCATTGTTGCATAAAAAACATGATTAATGCATATATTGCACAAGTAACAAGACTATAAAACACACATTTATTGATACTCAAGACATTTTTTTTGTGTTCATATGGTTGGTAATCTTACTGGTTGAATATCATATGGGCCCCACTCTTGATAGGCCACCACACACCCTAATCATACAGAGTAAGACCCACTAGGGCTGGGACTCATAAGGACTGGACCCTATTCCAACTGGTTAGGTAATTTTGGGCCCTAATAGGACTGGGGTCCATTTAATAAATAACCATTAGATCAGGCAATACATTACCTTGCTCTGCACTAAGCCAAAACTGTCTACTACAGCTGGTGCTTGTACAATGTTAGGGTGATATTATGACTAAATTCCTTCAACAGGCTGGGAATCCTATACTATTTAAGGAACCAACACTGAACGCCTGTACACCTGTACAAGATGACTAATTCCTCAGGACGGAGAGTTTATAAATAAAAATATCGTAACAAACCTCACTACAAATTTACAATAATTCAAGTGTTCCATCATCAAACTGTGTCAAAGTCAGATGGAGCGTCAATAGTTTTATATATTCTGTACATAAAATCAATCACGTATTAAGCACCTTTAGTAAAGCTGAACCTTTTCAAGCGGAAAGACTCCAGAATTAAGAATTTCAACAGCCTGATGCTATTGTTTCATGGAGAATTTAGCAATGAGATTCTTATTTAAGCGATGAACAGCATTCAGTGTTTGATGCCTTATTACTGTACTGTACTGTATTGCACTGCACTGTATATTACATATGACCAACTTCTCAACAGTACTTCACACACAACCTACTTCAAAGTGTGGCAGGCAAGTTTCTAATGACAACACACAGATGAAGAAATACATTAAACAATAAATATATTTTTTAAATCATTCTAAGCATATCACAGAAAACAGAGTTTAACCAAATTATGTTTACTAACTACTGTACTGTACAGCCCAATAAACTACAACATATTATTGGCTGCCACAATTAACTGAACATTTGACAATCAACTTATTAATAAAGCTCCACCTAGTTGTGGTATCCTTAAAAGTTTAAAATTTTTAGTTCATTAGTTAATGGTTGTTCAGAGGTTTGTGCAACCAAATTGGCAAATTATGATTTTTTTTCCTGTCAGTTTTACATAAGTGAACTTCTTTATCAGTGAATTTGCCAGTGTGGTGACATGATTCAATTACTGTACCAACCAACAACCAATCAACTTATACAAATTGTAATGATTGCTGTATATATCAGAAGTGGACAGGGTCTCTAGGGGAAATTTACACATGTCTGTAAATATTGATGATGCAGCAATACTCATTTGATTTGGTATGCTTAATGTTTTTACCCCTTCATCATTTATTGTATACATGTGCTCAACCTTATCTTACTGGCAAGAACTTCACAGGTCTGGTTAAGAAGACTCTAAGACTCATGTTAGCTTACAACTAATGCAAGATTTCCATTACTGATGTAAGATTTTGTTTCCCTCTGAGTCCCTTTCCATCAGAAAAATGATTTATGCAAACCTATACTGTATCTAGAAAAAGTTATACTGAAATCATCATAAAAGAGACAGAGAGGGAGAGAGAAAATAAGGCCTAAATATGTGCAGGTGAACTTGTCTGGAGTTACACCTGGTCACTGAACAACATCCCTTTCCTAAACTCTTCAAGTCACACTCAATAAGTGGAACAGTTAGATCACACCATAACTCCAGGAAATACCAATGCAGAATTATAACGCCACAATCTAAAGTTTGCTGCCACTAAAATGCATTTCCATATATGTACCTCTTACTAAAAAAAATCAGCTTTCCCTTATATTACATGAAAAAAATCATCAAAGCAACCATCCACATATCTTGTGGATCATACTTGTCTCATGAGTTGCAAACACAGTGCCATCCCCAACAACTGAGTGAAATAAAGAAACTCAGCCATAGCTATCAACAAATACTGCAACTCAGAATGTACTGTATATCACGAGTACCAACAGGTGCGTATCCCTCATTAAATTATCCAAATGGGTTGGGTTCCTTGAAAACCGTTCAGATAGTGAAAAACAGAACAGATGGCAAAAATAGGGTTCAGTTCTCTAACAATAACAAAAAACTAATATTATACTAAAAAAAATCACAAACAACAAAAATATCTACCTCGCTACTATAATTTAGTACCTAACTACTTTATGGTTATTACTAAGCTAAATATATTATAGTGACCAGCTGGTACATTACCTTATTGGAGGTTGGTCAGGGCTCACCATGGCATGAGGAGGGGTGGGCCAATGTGAATTTGAAATTATTTGAATTTTTGGTTGGATCATATTTCGGATAAACGAGGATCGCTTTTGCATAGTGAACATGAGGTGAAAGAATAAACATTTTTGATAGTTAACATTTGTATACCGAGGGATACCTATAAACGTATTCAAATAATGTAACACTGATATTGCAGAGCCTCGATATGAACCTGATTACAGACATGCCAATCGGTTTCTATTTCTAAAGATGAAAAAGGATCATTTTCAAGAGACTTTAAATTATAATGACAATTTACATATTAATATCAAAGATGGCACAAACTGGTCGTATGTTATCGTCAGCGCCGTGGTACAACGAGAAGTTAAACTAGCCTCGAGTTGTAAAACATACAATGAACAATACTAAACCAAACTGGGACCATTCAAAGGTAACTGAACTGGATCAAAGAGAAGAGTCTGAATCAGGTCGGAGATTAGTCTAAATTTCACAGTGGTAAGCAATCTTCTTAATGCTTTATAACATACGAGCATAACGCATCACCTGTCCAGACACTGTTAGAGGTCCCATCATTGGGTTCACTGTGAGATAACCTACTGGATCAGCAAGTTGTCTTTTTATAAGTCTGAGCAGTAATTGTCTTGGAATGTTTCACTTGACTATTTGCTCTATAAAACCAAGTACTGTACTAACAAACATTACCACAAATTACCACCTGGGAATTAACAACACACAACTCCAATCTTAGCTTACTTGTGTGGTTTCTGACCTAATGCTGTACCACCTTGAAGTAATGCATCAATGTACCAGTTATATGGATATGGCTTATCTACCATACACTTATACAGTACAACAATTATACATTGAAATCATATGCTGAGTTGGGTAAACCCATGCTATAATGCGACTCCCCAGATAAGACAACAGGAGAGGTAAACAGTATACATTCATCCAGCATAAGCTCATTCACCAAGGCTGGGTTTACGTACTTGAAAGCCTCATATATTGAATTGTGAATCTGTGCAAATCGAATGCAACTCCCTCGGGAAATAAAGAGAATACATTCCTGGTTCTCAAGAGTTCTCCCAAATCTCACAATTTGCAAAGAAAGAAACATTTCAGAGTCTTCTATGATGGATGATTATTATTGAACCCCACACTACTGTACAGTATATTAACCCTATTAAACCCCTCGCGTACATGACAAGCCGGTTTTGTCCAATTTGATCAATGAATCTAGCACGTGTCATAGATATTAAATTATTTGCCATAAATTAAGCTTTCATCCAAGGTGTGTCATATTTTAGTACATCACAGGAAGAGGCCGACACTCCAATGTATGTTACCAATTAGTGTTTTAAGAGTCAGGCTGGGCAGTGCAGTCACAGTCCCTTTAATCAAATCTCCCATCTAGAATTTGCATAGATTGTTTCAGCAGTTAGCTTCCTCTTGGTCCCAGAAGCAGTCCCCTTTATGCTGGGAAGGTTCATTGCCCTGGTTTGAAGCCATTGCCTCAGTAGTTGAAATAAATACAAGACAGTACTGCTTACAAAAACTCCGGCAAAATTCCTACCTACTGTACTGCATTGGCCTAATATACAATTCAAAATACCACATTTCATGTTGGACATATTATATAGAGGAGGTTGTATGTTTCTGATTTTGGTCTACAATTATTTGATATGTTAAACAGAATCCTTAGAAACAGAAATATCATAAATCACCAGCTTCCTGTACTGTACACACAAAAGCACTATACTATACAGTACTGTACTGTACCTGTATTAAACTAAACTAGTAAAATATAATCATGATTTACCCTCCCCTATTATATCACTAAGAGAAGCAAACTGCATTAAGTATGAAAAAGCTGCCAGATGACACCAATATCAACAATGTTCCTTTTTTAAGCAATTTCAATTTGTATTTTGTCTTTTTTTTTCCATTTTCTTTCTGGTCATCAAATAATTTTTCAGTCTCAATACTACATCTAACAAAAATACTTTAAAAACTATATTTAGATACGAAAGGCTCTGTTATATTATCCTCAAGTTCATTGTCAAAAAATAAATAAAAATCCTGACCAGGAAAAAAAAATTTCATTTTTTCCTAATTTACCATCTGTGTGGCAACCCTACATTGTACTATATTATGAAGCCTCCTGCCAGATGGTGCATGAGTAATTTTATCAATTATGCTTTGTATAAATGGCACAGAATTCCGAGAGATTTACGAATTCAAATACTCTCTAATAACTGAAGATGTGAGGACAGATCAGGTGTATTTATATGAAGTAAAGAAAGATAACTATCAAACTGGGGTCAAAATTTCATTGAGACTACAGTACTGTAACTTGAGGCATGAACTCCTCCCCAGTTACAAGGAAAAGTCAGAGTACAGTACAGTAGAGACAGACCCTAATTGATGACTGGGTTACCTTCTGAAAAACCCTCTTTGAGAATCCAGGCACTGATTTGTACACATGATGATATGATCGGCTTTCATAAATGATCAAAGTCACAAGTTCAAGTAAGAGATATCTAGGGAAATAGTGAAGAGATATGATATGTGGTAAAATTCAAGATCAAAAGGATATGTAAAAAAATTCCCTCAATATTGTAATGAAAATCGAGAAGGTAGAAATATCTCAAAGTTCACAGACAGTATTTTTGGACAAGTATGTAGAGCAAGTTGTGAGAGGAAATACCATCACAAGAAATCTATAAAGAGATGTTAAGAGAGAATGAATGACAGCTAAGGAAGGTTGAGTCTGTATAGCTCTTGACTGCACCAGTTATGGGTACGGACTGTAAGTTAACAGAAAGTATTTACTTGACTTATCCACAGCATTTACCTCTCTTCCCAGCCACATGCAGAGATTTCTAAACTTCCATATCCCTTTAACATCTTACACTCTTCTAACTACTGTGCCAGAAGAAGAAGAAAGAGAGAAGGAAGATAATCACTGCACAGCTGACTGACTTCAGGCAGAGCTTGGAGACACACCAAATCTTAATGCCAAGAATAAACTTTTTTCTATTTTTTCTTCAAAAATCCTGGCAAACTGACATTTATGGCTTGAGCTTTGGCTTGTAAAACATTGGCAGATGGGCGGGAAGCAAACATTTTACTCATCTTGTTCTTCATGTCATCAACTCCAGGATGGACAGGCAGTGATCCAGTGAGAGACAAATTGGATTTGCGTCTGTAATAAAATAATAAATAAAAATCCTCTGTCCACAGATACAAGTATAAATAAATAAGAGTTCAAATTAAATGTGATTAACAATCAAATGGGAGAAAAACCGCGAAACAAATTGCTCACATTGCAATATACTGTAATTGTAAATTTGCTTCACGAGAAGAAACACTGCAGCACTGTACTGTACACTATTGGATATTATACTCACAACTGATTATCACAGCTGAGTCTTGGATGTGAAGATGAGCAAGAAGTGTATAATCTTACAAGAGCTTGGTAATGATGTTGTACTGGTTGTTGTCCTATGCCGCTCAGGGTGACCTCCTAACATTTATTGAGTCTATAACCAGTTTACAGCTGTCTTCCAATATACCACCAAGTGGACCTCCTAACACTGAGATAAAAGACATGAGTTTTTCAAAAAGTGTTTTTGGTTACTTCTCGAAGCACCATCATCACGTGGAAACTACAGCATCTGTACCTTACACCTAAATCTACATGTCTTCAAATTTCCGAGTAATATTGAAGAATTTAGCAAACAGTATTCAATATAATTTAAATTTTGAAATTATTGGGAAGTGGAATGCTGAGGAGATGTATGAAAAGATAGGGATAAATCAGAGGGAAATCCTGGGGCTGTGTTGTGGAAGGGGAATATCTGGTATAGTAGATGGAGAGCATGAATGATAGTGTGTTGCTCTTGTTTCTGGCCACCTAGCACTGAAGTGGGAAATGGTTTACAAAATAAATATTTTAATAACTAATCTTCTTAAACAAAGACAAACATAAAAAAAAATCTTAAGTTTTCTTATTCAAAATCACTAAACAATAAGTTAAGTGTTAATCTAGAAACAATACAAGTAATATATTGGTTTTCTAATTTCACAAACAGGCATTATTACTAAAACAATGAAAAAGGTGATTGGTTGAAATATTTTGTAACAAATTGTACAGTACGTATATACAAAAAAGTTTATATTTTTAACAAGAAACAACAGTACTGTGCTAAACACACACAATATTCATTCATTATCTTTACTACTCTCCCAGCTTACAGTAGATAGATCACGAAGGGGGGGAGGGAGAAGTGGTGCAGTACAAGGAGAGAGAAAGAAAGAAGAAAATAAATAAAATAAAAGAGGAAAAGATTGAAGTAAGAAAGAGCAGCTTGTACACACACTCCACTTCACAGTATCACATCCTTAACTTACAGACACAATACAGTACAGTATACAAAAGGATACCATCAGAAGCAGCAATCCCGACAAAGATAACGAGAAGACTTGTCTTTTTAGAAGCCCAATACGAGTCACTAAGAGATACACCTGTTGACTGAACATGACTCAGGTACATAAAACAGACACAACCCAACAACAACAAGACACACAACACCCCCAACAATAAACCACAATGCATATGGTTCAACTGTTACAAATTCAAACTTACTTCAGTTTTTCACTCGCTTGTTAAGTTTTCTCTACAATTCCTCTGTTGAACTGTTCCTGGCCTTCCACAGATATCTGAAAGGGCTAATAACAAAACCCAGTGTCTGTTGACCCCAAACTTTCATCAAACTTTTTACTTTTGCTTTGATTTAAAAAAATGGGTGTGAAATCGTCTGACGATAATAAAAGCTCATGTATATTTGACTAAGGCTTTATGTCACCTAATTCATATAATATTTCTATCAATAGTGTTTTAAATGTCTTGATAAAATGGTCGCTAAGTGAGAGTAAAAATAACAACATGAAGACAATGGTATGTGGAGATGTTACTTTAGGCAAATGACTATGATGTTATGTGGCAGACTGCTAAAGACACCTGTAATATATTGTAATAACCCAAAATCTCGGAGCCATATTATCTGCCAATAGGGTTGACTTACAGGACAAGTAGACTCCTAACCATGAGTTTATGAGCTGAAAAGTTGAGGTCGACTTATGCACCAGGTTGACTTGTACACTGGTAAATATGGTAACCTTACATTCCCTCCCAGAAAAATATCTAATTTCTGAAACCAACTTTAACTTCTCACATATTTAACTGACAACTTACCAATGCTAGATTGAGAACCATAAGGAAGGTAAGGGGAGGCAGTGTTTGTTATGGCGTAAACTCTATGTGTGTTAGCTGCTTGTTTTACTTGATCCTACAATAATCTTCTTTTTTTTCTAAGAGATTCTGGGGGAAGGGAGAGAAGGAACCAAACTGACTCAAACCTAGTATTATGGCAGCCGTATATATCAGTCTGGGTGTATATATTTTGACACAGACTTTAGTTACAGGATAATAAACAGCAATAAATGATTATCTAATACTGAAAACAAAGGCAAGTAGTACACTACCTTTCTAGTCCCTGGGAAGCTTGGGTGCGCAGACTGTATTCCCGTAACAGGTCAGTGATGGTCTCCATGTGCTCAAACGTTGTAGATCCCAACGTTTTCTGAAGCTGAGAGAATACATGAAGAAAATTACCTGTAGCTATCACATGATTAAAACATCAATTCAACAAATAAGTTATGCAACACTCTCTTCTTTTTTTTCATTAAAGTCTTGTTTAGGGGGGCCTTGATGCATCAGTGTTCTCCTTTAAAGACTTTGATAATTCCATAATGCTCTCAGGCAACTCTATGCTCAGGGAATTTGCTATACAGTATGTACTTTTTTATCAACTGTATATTTAAGGATAAGTTTAAGTTTACCTGCGTGAGTGGTGGAAGAACAAAGTGTGCCACTACATGGTCTGGCAAATGACAGCAGGTGAGGGATGAGTAAGCCTCCAACAGCCCTACTCCCAGTATCGCTCCTTCTTCTTCATTATGCCGCCCGTCCATCGCCAGTCGACACAAACGTGGCAGCAAGACTGTGAGGCAAACATTTATTGTATACCCGTACAGTATATCATAATGAACTGCACTGTTATTACACATAGATATTTCTTATTAACTACCATAAAAATAACACAAATTTCTTAAGCTATAAAGTGTAAAGACTGAAACTGAGTCCTATTGCTAATAATAAGGTTATGGGTCCATCTCATCAACTGCCGGTACTGGACTTACACTGGTGTATGAGGCGAGGGTGTGCTGTGTGGGCCAGGCGAGAGCATGTGCGACACAAAGCCAACTGGAAATTCAAGTTCTCCAACAAAGAGGGATCTTCAGCCAGAGTCTCCAGTTGAAGCCACACTTTATCTAACACCTGCCAGAGAGACTTGATCAATCACTTCAGAAATACCCTCAGTATTTTGTTGAGGCAACCTTCATATCTCAGTACTGTATCAAATACTCTTCAACCAAATGATTCCAAAGATTTTCATATGATAAAAATGACAATTCATTTGATAATTTACAACATTTAAAGTTCCTGAACAATGATGTGGATCAATTGACTGCGATGAACAGATCTTTTTTTGTAGTAATTGACATACCTCAGTGTTTGTTGTGGTTGTTATAACAGTAGCCAAGGGGTGAACTGCTGAAGCTTTGACATGTATATCTGGGTCTGTCGCCAGGGTAACCAGAGCCGGCACCACACGAGACCCAAGTGCCCCATCCTCCACGTTACCCACCACCACACTCCACAACCCTGCACTACAGGCTCTCACCATGTTAGATTTGTGAACCACACATGACCATAAGGCTCCGAGGACAGATTCTTGATTACGTTCTAACTGAAGTAAGGTGGAGACAGTGACGTAGAGTGCATCCGGCTGTGCCCGACACAGGGAAAGAATGCTGATGTGTCTTGTCAAAAACCCTTCTAGTTCCCCTGGCCTATCAGAGTATCCTTGATTTGATGCCAAGAGAGCTACAATGTAAACAACCACCAGTGAGCTAGTGAGGCCAGTGTTTCCTAGACGAACTGTTTCAAGAGCAGAGTCATCAATGCTGAGATGTTTCATAAAAATAGGAGTAATGCTGGATGCTGTTATATGAGGCCCAAAACATACTGGCAACTGAGTAAATAATCTTATAAATGCTTGAATTACTGGCACAGCAGAAGTATCTATATGAGACAGCACATCGACAATGGCGGGCAAGAACTCATTAGTAACATACTCGAGTTCCTTCCACGACTTAAACCATTCTTTTGATACATATTGGTGAAGCTTAGTCAGACCAGCTTCAGCCTTAGCTTTGTCTCCAATTATAACTTGTAATTCCTCCAAGGCACTACATGCTGACAGTGAGGTTAGAGAAGTAACAGTTTTATCGAGATCATCTACAGCAGGTACCGAATTGATAAGAGTTGCCAGTATGAATGGTAATATCTTTATAAGAGCCTCTATCACAGATATGATTGACTCTTGCCCCAAGACTTGTGGTGAAGTCTGCACTTGTTGCTGCTTGTAATGGACTACCAAATGACTAAGTTTTGCTAGTAAAGGATCTAATATGAGATTCAATCTGTTAGTTTCAACAGCCCACATGGCTAAAGAAGCAATGAACAGGTCCATAGCACTGGGTGATGCTTGTGATCTTGTTGCCAACATAGATGGGTCTAATGTGGCATGAGGCGACATGTCAGCGGTCGTCCCAACATTCTCAAGGCAATATAGCAAGGTGTCCACCAGAACAGGCAGCTTGTCTCGGTCGTCGAGGAAAGTGACCAAGAGGGAAAGGCTGGTCAGTGCTGCTTCTCTCACCTGCGTCTCCTTCTCACCCCCCGGAGCCAGGAGTTGCAGCAACATAGAGAGCAAAAGGGAGTTTCTCAGTGGTGGTGGGGTGTATGGAGCCAGGGTAGCTGTAGACTGAGCTACCAGCAGCCGGCGCTCAACATACTTGTGTGTCAGCTGCTCCCAACACTGTGGTAAGAGTTCAGCCTCAAGTTTGGTGGCCCCAAGCACACGAGCCAGACCGACAAGCCCTGTTAGAATAGTGCTGCGCTGTTCCTCGTCTGGCCGTTTTATCAAGTTAAACAGTAGGTGGAGTAAACGCTCCCTTTCTTTTCCATCTTTGTGAAGACTAACCCCACAAATCAAGAGTGGCAATAATTCCTAAAGAGAAAAGATAAAAGAAGTAGACACATGAGGATACTGTACATAACCCAAGCTGTGTAGATCAAATGAACCCTAATCCTAATACGCCCCAATGGGAATGGTCAGTTTACCTCAGGGACTATTTAACACATCACTAACTACACATATTCCACAGAGAGCAGGAAAAATGGATGTATGGACAAATAAATAAAGAGCGAGAAGGATGGATAGACAAACTGGTCGCCTATGAGCGGACGGCACAATTTTTTACCAACAATAGTTCAGTCGATTCACTCACCTCACGCTTAGCAAGTATGACATTAGGAGCAATGTTGTGTAAAGATGTCGCTATAACATTCAGAAGGTCTTGGCTACCCTGGCCTAGAGTCGCCACTTCAGCCTGTATCCGGGAATTTCTCCGCACCGTGTGGCCCAGACTGGCCTGCAGTATCTGTTGCTCGAAAGCTTCTGGTGGACGTCTAAAATAAAGCAACACTATTAAGGGCAGCCACTACACATATCCAATAAAGTCTGTAATTCAAATAAAAAATATTCATATGGTTGCTAAAAAAAAATACTACAGTTTATGACAAGTTAATTAGTAATGATCAAAGTTTAAGTTTGATTACACTCCAGTTAACTTTAGGTGAATGTAGAATAAAAGTATTTGATTTACCTCTCTGAAGATGCCCTCAGTAATTGTTTGGCCTCAGTCTTCAGCAGTTCCAAATATTTCTCTGTTGCATATTCACCCCCCATGTTGATGTCTGCAATTCTCACATCTGCTACCTGAGGTTGTTGATCTTGACTGACAGAAGTACTATTTTCATCAACAGCTTCTGGAACTTCATCAGATCCAATGCAGGATTCCTGTAAACTGATCTCTGGCTTTACTGTCACCTCTTCCTCATTCAACACGACTTTATTTTCCATGGCTTCTGAGAGTTGTTCGCTTAAATTGTCCTGTGTATCTCCATGACTAGTTTGTATCAGAACCTCAATAGATTCTGAAGGATCTTCATAGCCACTAACAGCATTTATTAACTCACTTCTCACAACATGGTCAACACTATCTTGACTATTAACTTCTTTGGTATTTTCCCTACTGTCCTCAGATTCAATATCTATTGAGGAACCAATTGTTTGGGTCCTTAGTGGCACTGCTGCAGCCGTTACCATGACAAATCCTCCACCTCCTGATGTTTCTTCGTTATCAGAGGTGCCTTCAGGAGACTCTCTACCATCTTTATCAACACCAAGTGGGCTCAACTTGTCAGTATTATATGTGTGTCCTTCGGCTTGTGTGCGATCTGTTTGCTTCTTGGGTGACGTGCAAGGAGTAACACTTGGGGTGGAGGTCCTTCGTTTCAACTTTTGTAATTCTCTGAATAAAAGAAAAAATACACAAACATCAGGATGAGGAGCTGAGTAGTACTTAAACTGCTAAAGTATTTCTATAATTTATTACAACTACTGTACTATTATAGTATACAGTAATATATATAAAAAAAAACTTATGGGTGATGTTTGGTTAGTGTAAATATGCCCATAAGAAGTTTCAGCACCATGTGATATACACAGGATAAAAACATTTTATCTACAGACACATGGAAGGAAAGCCCCAAGACTGAATTACTGAGAACCTTTCCAGTACAGTTATAGATCCTTCAAACATAGATTATCAAAACTGGACACTTTCTTCCCTGGTTCATCCATCAATTCTCAGCTGCTAACTTGAAAAGAATAGTGGACAGTATGAGGTATTAAGTGTTTTGTGAAATATATTGTAAAACAGTACAGACAAATTATGATGTTATTTTATTTACCTCTCTTGAACAGCAAACATGTTCTTTGCTTCATGTAGTTCTTCTTGTAATCTTTTAAGCTGTTCTTCCTGCTGAGAGATCTGGCATTGTGAGCTACTGTCTGTCTGGGAAGCACATGAACTGAGTTGGGTTGTAGTGTGGCCGCCCTCTCTCAACAGCTGCACCAGATTGGGCGGCCGACCTATATTTAATCCCACATCATCCCAGTGTTCAAAATCCTGATGAATCACAAAAAAATTACTAAAAACCGTTTATTTCCAACACAAAGACATCCAGAGACCCATGTGGTACGGATGTAGAAAACTAAAGAAGAGAAGTTTATCAGGGAAGAAAGAACAGGATTGTTTGGGAAAAGATAAAAAAAAAAAGGTGCTGCTTTCATGACTTAGAAAATGCCAATAAAATGAGACTACAGCAATTGGATTTTGGTGAGAAGTTTTGGCTTATAATGGCAGCTAAAGGAGAATACTGATAAAATAAATATTGTATACTGTCACTTTCTAAGCATGAAAAGTTACATAGCCAAGAAATTTCACACAACTGACCACAAACACAAAGCTTTTATCCTGTAAGTCTTGAGGTAAGTCTTATGGGTCCCTGTGGATCAGTATTTACCTGATCATCATTTTCATCAGCGAAGGTGATGGCAGTTAGCTTATATGAGTTGGTCACAAGGTATTCGTTGATCAGGAAGTTCAAGGTTCTCTTTTCATGTGGACGGATGGATGACAAAGATGCCACAAGTGCTGGTTTATCAGCTTCTTTCTTTTCAACAGATGATGGTTTTGATTCTGAAAAAAATAATAAAATAAAAAACAACTAAAAATTAATACTGTAATTTAAAATAATGACTCAATACATTAATCATTACACTGTATAAATATTAAAGGAATATGAAAACAGTACTTCCACCATGCATTCTTTTTGTACAGTTCTTAAAAAAAAAAATTCTTCAAAATTTCCTAATAAGTGCAGTACAATATTCATCAACAGATCTGGATTAAAAACTTTGATTACGGTCACTTATATTGTTATCTGAAGTAAACTGCCAGCTTGGTGCAATAAACAGTCACTATACAGTAATGTACTTATGCTACCTTGTTGGAATAAGTAATAATAACTTGGGAGTTGATAAAAAAATATATATAAAACCAGGGCATTAATTAGTTAAGGAATAAAACAAACAAACTATTCCACAGGAAGATCATAATATGTCCTGTTTTACCGTTACATGACATTCCCTTGATACTAACCTGTTGCTTGTGTAAGATTTGTTCTGAGTCCTTGGATGGTCTCACGAGCCTTACGTAACTCAAACTCCAGGACGGCCACTCGCTCATCAACAGCTCTTTCTCCATCTTCACTGAGATGCCCCCAGTCCAAAGAGTCTAGAGTTGTCTGGCTAGATGATCGTGCTGAAATATAATGCATCTTCATTCTAAAAAAAATTACATTCCCATATTCAATGTACAGTATACACCTAACCTTCACTAGGTTGACCAAATTAGCTCAAAATACTGAACTATCCCAACATACTGTATTGAAATTAAATCACAAAAGAAAAGAATAAAAAATAAACAAACCGGAAATGGTTAAAGTTTAATAATTCTGATATAAGTAGACTACTACAGGTACTGTACTCTGTGAGAATAGTTTGGTGATGACTAATGTTATATCACCAAAGTGCCGAAGGTATAGAAGACTGGTGGACCTTCAGTATCATAAATAACTAAAGAATATTTTTGTTTACAGTTTCAACACTTTATCCTTTAACTAAATGTACATTCAAATACCTGTACAGAGAAAGTGTGTTTGCAGTTGATGGAGCAGATAGTTACCTCATGTATTACAGTACTTCCACCTGACTGAATGTACCATATGCAATATTTCCCACTGATCATTTGACAGCCTAACTGCAGGTGATTTATATTAGGTTAGGTTAGATTTTGGACGCAAAGAACACCTGCAGTAACTACTATCTGCACTAACAAGTGCTAATGCCCGCAGCCCAAACAAAGTTACAAAAAAGTCTAGTTTAATGGTATCCCAATGTGAGGTAGTCACTACACAAACTCCATTCTTGCTAAAATTAAATGGTAAGACTTGACGAGAATGGTCTGGCCTTAGCAGCAACCTGACGAAATTTCTCCATAGAAGATAAAAGCTTTCTACCTCGAAAAATATACAGAATATGCAAGAGGAATGCATTTTGCAACAATATCAGTTTAACGTGAGAATGGGTGGAGGAAGACGACCTTGCCACGAGCGTCATGTTTAGAGTGTTGTAATGGTTATTTTTGTAGAAAGGAATTGTAATCTATTTTTTAATAATAACATTGGAAATAACTGTCGCATTTTTGGTAAGGTTAGGTTAGACAAATATTCCGTAGTGACGAAAAAGCTAAAAGAATTCTTATTTATTATTTTGTGCTCTATCTCCCTATATAAGAATCAATATGAGGTTCCATTTATAGTCACTATAAAATATTAACCAAAGATTGTAACAATAGAAAGTAAAACAAATTCCTTGTGCATTTGGTTTCTCACAGTAAGAAAAATTATATTTTTCTTGTTGAAATTTTGTTAGGTTGATGCTAAAGCCAGGCAAGCATATCATTATCGTCTCGGTCATCCAGCGAATTTTAGGATTTTAAATTACCACTGTTCGAGAGGTTTAGGTTAGGTTGAAATAATGTTTTGAACGATTTTGACCTACTCCCAAATACGTGCATGAGCAAAACGATAGCCTTACCAACCATTCTCATCAAGTATTATCATTTAAACATATTTCTGAGATGCTTTTCGTCATTTTAATTGCTTTTCACAGTTGCAAGACCAGGTCCATGAAGTATAAGCACTGCATATTGAAGTATGGCAACAAAAGTTCTACAGCGAAAATAACCAAACCAGTTATGATGCAGACTAGATGACCCAAACAAACGTGGCTGACCATTAACCTAAGGTCGTTAGGTCAGCTGTTTGGTGGTTGAGTTATGTCATCTACTATTACAAGCCATCACTTACGGAGTATGAGTCCACTGTATGTACTACCAGAGTGCAGGTCTTGGTAGGTCTTGGGTGTGTACTGTTCAAAGTTGGCAGGGTTAGAGAAGTACTCCCTCAGTCTGGGCAGCTCGCAGCCAGCCTCCACCAGCTCCGTGTGCAGCTCAAGGGCTGTGAGCAACAACCGCTCCTGCAGCAGTTTGGTGGCTACGTCATCCCAAGACACGGCTCCGTGTCTCTCACGCTTCTTAATCTCCGTGGCAGGAACCGCTGGATCTAAAGGAGTCTCATTCCCTGACGTCTTCGCCTCCGCCATAGTAAACATTGACTGGGATACGAGCGCAAAATATTTTAAGGATTGTCTAATGTGAAGAATCTGTTTTCGAATTAAATAATAACTGTATTGTCTATTTTTTTATGTCGTGATATGACGCATGTCTTCAGGTGAGTCTGTTGACCTGTGGGCTATTTTAATTAATTAAAACAGATGGTAATTATGTATGACCTTAAGTTTTAAAGCTTCCTGTTTTTATTTATATTGACACTAGTTACAGAACTAATTCATTTGTAATTTCGATCCATTGTTATTACATCGTGTTTCCATAATCTAGGGTTAGAAATGTAATAAGCTGGTATACTAGGACTAGGTACGTTTTTACAATATATACAATGTTAGAAATAACAACGAACATATTTTTTGTAGTTGTTCTTGGTCTTTGATTTTTACTTAACCAATTTTAGCATACTAGCGATTCGGGCGATGTGTTTGTTGTTTGTTATGAGCTTTTCAGTGTCCAGTATTAGTATGAGAGGAAACCTGCGATGTGAGTTTGCCAAGATAATATTCTTCTATAGAAATGCTAAATGCCTTTGCTGGTAGGAACCTTTGCTTGACGTTCATACGATTTCACTTACTCTATTCCTACTCATCATGGTGAGATCGAGACGGTTGTCTAAAATTGTAAAAAAAATTTGACTAGGAGTCAGGTTATATAAATATTTGTCTTGGCGCCTCTTTACAAGCTGCCCTCTGGTCCTGTCTGGTCTACAAAGAACCGTCTTCTACCCTTATTATAAATAAATATTCAAGTATATAAATACTGTTATTTGGTTAAATGATAATTAAATTTTTATGAATTTATTATTTATCTATGAAAGAAATGTGCACTTATTCTCCTCTGACTGATGGCGCTTCTTTCAAAGTTGACCTTTTTATATTAGCTGTTGTAGTTGTCTTGGTGATTACTCCCAATATTACTGTTATTGTATTACATTATAACATCAATAAGACTTTCGTTGTTGATGGACAGTAATATATTATAATAGTAGCAACACAATTGATGATAACATAAGGTTTGTGAAGAGGAATAGAGTTTAATAAAAAAGGCTGTTAACCAGTCCCAAAGTCGAGGGCTATTAAAATTTTATCATTGTTTGGGGGAAGATATTGAAGGGCCAGTCTGGTGTACAGTAGATAAATTAGTACAAGATACACTAACAAAGATATAACATACATCAAAAATAATTGGTGTTGGCATCAAGTGAAACAATCTCAACAGACGAACACATTTTATTGTTTCGATACAATATTAATTACTATGAAACAGACATAAACAGTATTATTGTGTACACTGTTTTATATGTCTTGCTTACAATATAAAAAAGTTAAAAAGTATAAAAGTTTTGTTCAATCATGTTATGATCTTAAACAAAAACAAGAGAGCATTTTCTCCTAATAAATGTAAAAAAAAAATAAAAAGGATTACTGATTTACAAAAGAAAAAAAAAAGAGGTATCTGGTTAAATAATTACCATGAAGTGGCAGAAGAGTATGTAAGAAAACCTAGTTAACTGGAGGCTATTAATGAAATCTTTAAACAGTTGAAGATCTGTCTCAAAGTTTAGAAAAGTGTCACCTCAAGAGTAAGTTTTCAGTCGATGCTCCATGGAAGTAGATGAATAGAGTTACACTATGAAACAGCAAAGTGACATGACTGACTGATTTCCTTAATTAAAGATGAGAGCATGATAAATAACATGAGGATATGAACAGGTACCTCCACTTCCTAGAGCTTAAGACTTCTGACACTCAATTGCAAAATAACTGTAAAAGGCCTAATATTATTTTTCTCCTTGAGTATAAAAAAAAAATTAAAATCACCTGTTACTTATGATAATGTGTTAGCCCCGGCCATATGGGGGACTGAGACAACAGGGCCATCTTGTGTAATACCTGACTAGTTTTGTGTTCAAGCACTCTTTATGGGTTCTAAAACACACTCCCATGATATTAACAATGAGAACCTGATTATATGAGCCACACGAGATATCCATATGTTTAAGGACTGAGGCAAAGGTCCAGTGATGCCAGTCAACAAATATCATATCTTCTCACTGACTGGGTTACACTGGTGCCTTCATCATGGGGCCAAGTCAGGAGAATGGGTTACATTGGTGCCTTCATCATGGGGCCAAGCCAGGAGAATGGGTTACACTGGTGCCTTCATCATGGGGCCAAGCCAGGTAGAGTGACCGAGACACCTTCAGCAGTAGGCAGACTTTGCATCAGTATGAACAGTACTTTTGGGATTTACTTCCTGAATTAACATATTAGAGTGAGGACTTTACCAGCATTAACTGTGGTCTCATCACACCACAGACAGTATTATTACACAAGGTCTCATCAACTGTCTTATTAGGTCCAGAAACCAATGACTCAAGTGTTCAAAAGCTAATAATAATATTTGTCTAGATAAAGTCAATTCAGTACCTTGTGATACAACAAAAATAATCATCAAGCTTGGCCTGGTCCCATGAAACCTAACTTTCACAACCACCTCCCCATAATGTACCTATTAAGTCAAGTAGCAACAGATATACAGTATCATGATTACAATCAATCTACATTCAGCTTTGTATTTTATGCTCAACAAGCAAGTACTGTATAAGTTCTCATCAAAAACAAAACTTAATGAGCAGTTACCTCCAATTTACTATAATGTAAAAGCCTAGAAGTTGCTGTACTCAAACACGTGACTGATAACCCCATTTAATATTTCAGTCAAATTTAACTTTCTTCTTCACAATTCATGCTCTTGAGGTAAGTGGACTAAACACATACTCATTACCCAATCAACGTGATAATCATTAAACCCTGAAGTCAGTATCATTGATTAATAACTGATCTATCAACTGAGCTCTATCCATTTTTGGTGTCCTTAGTAAATGTTATAATACAAAGATGTTGATTGGCTGCTGGGCGAGTTGCACTACCTCATTGCTACTCATTTAGGAACAACCAGCAGCCAATCAACTTTCACAATTGTAATGGTTGCTGAGGACACCAAACGTAGAGGAGTTGAGTTGACGGGTCAATTAAACAAAAGCTGAATGATCAAGTTCCTATTGTTTCATTGTAAAACATGGAAATGTTTGTTTTCTTGCACTTCAGTGTAATTTTTTTTTTTTTTACTGTTTAAGTCCCTCCTTCAAAATTCAAATACTTAGCTTATTTTCAAGTTCTGAGCACCAATGAGTTAGTGAATATAGTGTGAGTGTGAGTGTGTGTGTGTGTGTGTGTGTGTGTGTGTGTGTGTGTGTGTGTGTGTGTGTGTGTGTGTGTGTGTGTGTGTGTGAGAATATATGTGCATGTGTGTATGGATATGCTTACATGTATGTATGACTGCATATGTCCATGAATGTGTACAAAACTATGCATGATTACATGTGCATGTATGTACTGTACATATGCATGTGTCTGTATGGTATGTACATTTGTGTTGATGATTTTTTTTTTTTTTTGCGTATTTTTGGCAAGATGTTACAGTACTAGAGTATGTCGTGTATGTGTAAAGAGAACCCTAAGTTGGCGAGGAATAAAGCCATGCCAGAATTAAAATAATAAAAGCAGAGAGGTCATTTGAGCACTAAATTATAAGTTATTTAAATAGTCTACAAATGAGATTAAAAACTGAGATTTCTTATTTAGTTAGAGTCATTTGTCATGTCTTCGTCTGTCAATGAGCACCTACGGGTTTAAAAGAAAGATGTGTTATCGCCATAAAAAAATTCTTTTCTATATACTTATTTGTGACTTCTGTCCTTCACAAATTAAATGCGTGTTATTTCTACAAAAGGGAAAATCCCACTTATGATAATTATGTACAGTCAGAAACTCTGCATTCTTTGGAGAAATATATGAAGAACGAGCACGGGCAGTCTCAGGACCCCAGAGCACCTTGTCCCACATTGAAAACATTTAATACTTTACTTAAGTCATAAAGTTCCCTAAGTATGGTTCAGTACATTATCACCCACCCTCAAGCAGTTTTCATACACACACATATATATATTTTTATTCTCAAAATTTACAGTATTACATCTATTTGGGACAGGAAGCTTTGAGGCTCATTGTCGAGTAACTACTACCCAGGATAAAATGTTGCTTGGACTATTGGCATCTGTAGGTACAGACTTATTGGTGAGGAATGAACCTAACTCCTAATGACTTTTCTGAGGGATACAACAATTAATTTTTGTAACAGCACAAAAATCTTTACTGTATATATACCTTCAAATAAATGGTTAGAATCCAATAGAAACTCTGGGGAATGAGACCCTATGCTTGGACTAAGGTGTAAGGTAAAATTTCCAAACACCAAGTCCCATAACATTTGTATCCATTGCCATGGCAGCCATTCTACCTAACATTATACTAATCATGAAAATGATTATCAATTGTGGTGACTTCTACACTGGCTACAGTATTCTCAATGTACAAACAATGACAGCTTTGGTAATAATGACTTAAATATAACTATCAATGTACTTTACACAGTCTAAGGAAGAGAAAGAAACATGCAAGTTACAGCACAGGCTTCTCTTTTCCTGCTTGGTAAAAAATAACCACAACCCACACCAACTTCAGGAATAATTTTCACATATGACAATAAACAGGGAAGCTTCCTTAAAACCAGTGTGAGTTAATGGGAAAATTATCCTTTACCAAACAAAGCATGTATATTCCTCAAGAACAAGAAGTATCACCTTCTCACTTTGCTTGATTAAAGAACTTATATGGTAAATGCCTTTTGTTTCAAACATCTCAGATATTTCAACCAGAAAGAAAGTTACATTCAGGCATTTTTTCTGGAATATTTTTTAACATAATTTTTATGCAGTGATGGAGCATGAGCAGCCACAAAATAAGTCTGAGTTGAGAACATTACATTCAAACTTTGTGTTAAACACTGCAGTGAAATCCCACCGAATAAATTTGAAAAATTTCTCATGCCACGAGCTAACTTTACTATACAATGCAGTCTTACTATTAGGTTAAGGAAGACTTGCAATTATAAATATATGGATTAAATGGACCCCTGGGAACTTGTACCCAACTTTACAGATTGTGATCATGACTCATTATTATCCAATTGATGAAACAAGGGAAGGTAAGAGACATTCAACTGGTCCAATAACATCTTCACTTCAAGTCTTCCTGACACTCAGCTCTTGTCAGTTTGAATTGCATTACCATATAAAATATAAAAAGGCAAAGCTTTACACTTTGGCGTATTTTAAAATACACAATTACTGCACCTGTTATATTTCTTCCAAGTTATACCCTTTGAGTCATATTACAAATAACCTTTTATGAACACACAGATCATGGTTGACAATTTCAGAAATCTTCTATGTGCAAATATGCTCCAGAGAAAATGTAATCACACACCAAATACTGAATAACTTTAATCCAATGTATCTTGTCAATGTCCTTACCATGATCTGCATTAATAATAGTAAGAAAGTAGTTGTCAACAATATGCATTACTAGAACGAAGCATATATCTTCTTAAAACTGCTACAGTAATCAGGTTCCTGGTGTTGCCAAAAAAAAAAGAAGCTCTTGAGTAGTTTTACATATTAATTACAAACTTCAAAGTTGGACCTCTACCAGACACAACCCCCACTCAAGTACCCCAAACAAGATTCTCAGACACACATCAACAAATCCTATATTCCAATCTACTCTCAGTTTGTATGTATCTTCCTAGGAAGTACTCACTTCGTTAGAAATTATGCATAATACTACTACTGTACACAGTTCAATTTACTCATGGTTTTAAATAGCATTCTACCTTATTTCATATCTAGTCAGTCATATACACAAGAATAAGAGAGCAAAGTAAAGACACAAGTTTGGCCTCATTATATTTGTCCCTCAATGCAAGTGAATCTTTGGGAATGTTGACCTGTGTGTAATGCTTGGGATTATTTATCCCATCAATCTAACCAACTAAACAGATATAAAATTTGTATACTGTACTACCCTTTATATTCCCCACGTTTACATGCCAAAGGTCGCAAATACATGGAATTCATCTGAATGACAAGTCCTAATGTAAACTTATTTAGAATATTTACACACTACAGTAGTAGTGTTTACAGCAAGAGCTTTTATCAACCGAAACATGACAGGAGTATTGCTGTAGATGATTTTTCAAAGAATTTAATTATTTTATATCAATCAATCTAAATTTGTCAAAATCAAGATTACTAATACTGCAAATTCAAAATTATCAATATGTTTTATGTCAAAGATCTCTTTCATTGATGCAAGATATACAGATGTTAATGTTTCTCCGGATTAACAAGTCACTGCACAGACTTTCCCTACTCTTAAAAGCTTTTTCCTGCACTACACAGATTCCAAAGCTTACTCTCCCTTTATTCACTACTGTTAATTCTTTCTCACTGACAAATTTAAACAGCTTATAATTCTATGCTGTACAATACAAAAATACACTTGTAGTCCTTTGTATTTCTATAGTCTATACAGAGAAGTGAAGAGAGTGATCAGTGTGAGACGTGGTGATCAATGTCATGTCTCACCTCATACTGTAGGCAAATATGACATAACTGGGTAAATACCAAAAAGGATTCCATCAAATAGTTACTTAGAGCAATAAGAAAACAAACAACACTACTCTAAAACATAGATCTTTACTCTTACATTAAAATGGAATGCTTAGCAAAGGATGAATTTTCCAAGCAAAACAGACATGTCCTCCTCCTTGCATGTACTGTACCTCACATACTAGTTATTCATTTATCTCTAAGACTTTAGTGTTGAACATAATTTTCTTACCCCAAATAATGAAATTATCACGACAAAGATAATTACTGATTCTGCATCAACTTTTTATCAGCATAGAAGCTCCACCTTTAAAGTGAATCCCTTGGATACTCAGAAGACAACACCAAATGACACAAACTTGTACACGTACATAAGCATTTTACAGCCATATAAATACTGTACATGTAAACAGGTATGTGACCATACACATTGGTGAAAATATACACAACCACATACACACATGTAGACACATAAATGCATACTGTACATATATGAACATACAAATGTTTACAAATATAAGTTCACATGAATGTTTACAAATACAAATTCACACATGAATAAAACACAATAAACACATTCCTGCAAGTACACAGGCACATATGCTTGAATGTGTGTACATGCCAACACTTTTCCCATAATGACAAACATATATAAAGATATGCACCCATGCACCAATACATATACATGAATGCATAAATATATATATCAGTACACACACACACACACACACACATATACATATATGCACACAATGTATCCACATCAGCACTTGTATATGCATATGCTCACATTCTCAGCAAACATATTAATAACCACATGCACACACACACACACACATATATATATATTAACAGACAAACACACTCACAGCAAAATCAGCAATCTATGTCCAACCTGATACTTGTGTACTGAAGTTCCTAATTGATAATGCCTTATAAAACCAATGAATACACATATCACAGTGTAACTCTGATCGAATTTGTCCAATAACTAACAGAAAATTTCTATATGTGTAGCTGTCGAGGACTATCAAGTGTGGATTAGAATTACTAGAAGTGAGTACTCCCTGAACAAACCTAGCTCTATGAGAATGCTTCGCTGGATTCTGCATAAAACTGCTCAGAGGCTATATCAAGGTTACCGAGGAGATCAGATAGGTAAGAAAATGTTGGTCTTTTTGCAGGATCCACGTTCCAGCATTTACAAATGATTTCATGGACATAGTCGGGACAGTAATGGTTGGCTGGTTTACCCATTCGGTATCCGTTGGGCACTGATTCTGCAACCTCTCGATTGGTCATCCCTGAAATGTAAAAAAAAACATCTTTGTTACAATTTTATTCATGTCTTGGTACAATGAGTAAACAGAACAACCTGACTAAAAAGAAAAGCTTCCCCTTCAAGCCAACATTTCCTTAAGTGATTCTGGACCTTTTCTGTTAAATATATCATGGCTTTTGTACATGATCAACTTGTTACCTAAGTCTATCATCAATATAATTTACTATTGATCACTCCTTCATCACTTTTTGGGCTCTTGATATTTTACAGTACAAGTAGAGAGATTTTGTTATTGAGTGTCCTTTCTTTGGCCACATTCACACTGATGACACACTCTCATAGACCACACAACAGTACGCCTCTGAGACAAGTATCTTCCAACTCTCTTTACATTTTATTTTCCTTTCTCGTCCATCTTCTTACTTCTTACTTTCACTCTACAAACATAGTACGAATTATCTTTTTTTTAAGCATCTGTATTCCTTGAGTAAACAAGTAGAATTTTCACAGAGCCACGCACTTATATTTAAAAAATCTGATAATCTACCGATATGCAACAATAACGTCGGATTGAAACAAAACATAAAACTGTCTACTTTACGATATAAATATATGTACTGTACAGTACTTTAGTTTACTTTTATCTATATTCAAGAAGTCTTTTGGTGCCAAGTGCCAAAAGATACAATGCTGGACTAAGCAGTGTACAATGAGTACTGTACTGTTAAGGCTGCTGCCACCTCAATATAAATAAGACCACGATGTAAGTGGAGGAGGAGGAAGAGAAGGAGGCAGAGGAGGAAAAGGAAGTGGATGAGAAAGTGGCTTAATATCTCCATTACTCCAGAGAATTATAGAAACATCTTGCCATATATACATAATATATGATAAGAGCCACATACAGTAAAAAAAATTGTCTTTGTCTTTGTTTTTTTTTTTGCTTATAGTTTTTGTCACCAATAGGGATTCAATATCAAATAATAACTGCGCTGAACACTGTGTCTTTTCAGCTGGATAACAATCTGTTCATCAAAGAAAAAAGCAAAACATGATATAAATACATATACCCTGTATCTTAATAATTATAAACATCCATATTAAGTCAATCTTGCATTATATTCCACCTAAATCAAGGTTTCACAGCATAAGCCTTTTGGAAAGCTGTATTTATCAAGCTTTATTTATCACCACTGTTTTAATCATCAATATCAAGCAATAATTACCATTCATCAGCATCAAGCATCACTTATCATGAAGTGGCTATATTACCATACCACTAAAAAAGGCAAAGAGAAGAATATAACACGTGATCACCATCAATAAATCTGGAACACTCTTGATGAGGGGCGGTGCTAAGAGGATGGGGAAGGAGGAGGGACATCTGAGTGGCAGGGGACGTACTGTACTGTACTTAGGAGGTATAGAGTCTACATGTGATCCATAAAACACAACTTTGAACAACAATGAATACCTCAGCAACTACCAGGTACTGTTCTACATAACAAGTGACTACAGTACAGTTATTGAGTAGAACATATCAGATAAGTCATTATACCGTGGTGGTCACAGGAACACTAAAATAAGGGGGGCAACAACAGCAAATATAAGCAATTATCATTATATCACTCCTCCATACTGTTACTCTCTTTCCATGGTCTGTGTTTCCACTTCAATTAACAGTCCAATATCTCCGTGGCTTCCTCTAGTAACACAATATTCAAGTGACTTAGAAAACATCAACACTGAACTTGATCTTTATCCAGGAATTTTGGGGGCAAAAAGTCTTCTAATTTATTCCTAAACTTATCCTCATTCACTTCTTTGTAGTTTCCATCTCTGGTCTCTCATCATCCTAACTACATAACACAGTGACATGCCATTATTACATCCTCGTTAAACCTCACATTAAAACTCTGATTTTGGATTAAACTAACCACAAGAGAGTTACAATTGGGAGGGAGTTAATTAAGGTATATACTATGCACATGCTCCTTTCTAGTCCATCTTTTCTACACATACAGTACATCATATGTATCAATAGTGGACTTTTATTTTCCAACCACAGTATTAAAATTACGCTCATACCCAAGGCTGTATTAAAAGCTACCAATTTCTTACACGGCCATTTTCTCTTATCACTGCAAAGTAACCTGTCATCCCATCTCCTTCTCTATTCCTTGCTTTTCTCTGTTGTTCCTAGCTACTTTTTCAATGCCTCACTTTCCCTATTGTTCATAACTACTTTCTCCATTACTTCACTTAATTGTTACAACTACCATCTTTTTATTTCAACTTATTTGTTTGTTATACTGACAACATTTCTTAAGTACTCAAAGTTCATCTTCTATCAAACCCAATCTCCCTTAATACGGTAAATCCTCACGATGTTGGACTCACGGGAAAGAACACGAGTCTAAAGGTGTAAATATTTTGAACTTGGAGATGCGACATTGTTGGTGCTGATGGGAATTAAAGATTAAATAAATATCACTTAATAAGGGAGTTTAAGCAAATTATTCAGTTAATTCCGAGTTATCTAAATGTGTACTTGGTGGAAGACGTCTCCTGGCAGCCACTAGAAACTGATGGAGACAAGTTTGGGATCACAGGTCACTAAATTTAAGGTTAAAGTTCACAGGTCACTAAATTTAAGGTCAAAGTTTGCATGTCATGAAAGTTGTAGACGCACTCTGCCATCACAGGTCACCAACATGTAGATTAATTGGGGTTTAAAGGTCACTAACATATCGACAAATTTGGGGTCACATGTCATTAAAATACCATACAGTGTAGACAAACTTGGAAGGTCACACGTTATAAAAATAGAAAAACGAGGATTTCTCAAATAAAAATATATGCATGAGGGAAGACACTCACTTGTGACCATCTGTGACTTTAGTTGTTCCATCATTTTTCAACAAACCAATCAACTCAACAATGGTTAGAATTCGGAGCACCTGATTGGTTGGTGGCAGCTGAGAGTCAGGCTCCCAAATCAGGTAAGTCGTAATAGATCAATGATGTTATTCCCTCTAAAAGCATTTTACTCTCGCTTTGTTTACTAATCCTAGGCCACAGACTCTCTACATACTGTCAACACCTTTTTTTTTACCATGTACAAAGTAAACAAAACAAATGCCTAAAGCCATACTAGGAAAACAACAAATAACATCACTACTACTACTGCTATTAAAATGACTAAAATACTAAGACGATTACTGAAATTCATAAAGTAACAGTAGGAGTAATAATAATAATAATAATAATAATAATAATAATAATAATAATAATAATAATAATAATAAATAAAATACAAAATAATAGAAAGAGCAAAAATAATAACAAAACAAATAATAATAATAACAATAATACAAAATTTCATACCAAACAAAACCCATAAAAAGAAATACAATACAGTATAACAAGATAAATGCGGATGTGACTTAAAATCTTCCTAGAAAAGTTCATCTTCTCACCCCCATACACCAAGATCTATCACACAATACAACGCCTCGTCACAGTCACACACGAAGCCAATCATCTTTCAACAGGGGTTCCAATACCTCAGCTCCTCTCCAGTGATCTTCAAAAATTTACAAAGTACTAATGGAAAAAAATATTACATACATATTCTCTCTGTCCTATACAGTTGTCAGTCTTTTAAGGTTTTGTAAAGAACATTATTCATTTAGTGCAAACACAATCTTCTTTCATCAATACTGCAGAGAATAGTATGAAGACTATCAATTCAACCCAAACTATTATTATCACACCACCATAACTAGACTACTTTTACCCAAACTACTTCCCAAATCCATTACTATCACATATCAGGACTACAGTTGATTATGTGACAAACACAATTTCCACTTTTTAAACATCTCACTAAGTCTCCTGTGTATTTTAATTTCTTTGGATAAACATTTTGCTGGTCTCCAATCCTATTTTTTCATAGTTTTATTTGCAGGGGATAATACAGGGGGTAATATATTTATTCAATTGGTAAAGGAGTTTTCATCTTCAACTGTATTTGCACTTCTCCTGGGTATGAATACCACAAACCTGATAAACTGTTAGGGTAAGTGTGGATACTCTTCACTGTACTGTATACAGTACTAAGCTTTTGGTATATGAGGAAGCAGTAAGGCTGAGACTGTACTTGTATGCCTTTACTTTCATAACTATAAAGTTAGGTACCCTGAAACAGCCGAGTGGATTTGGGGTGCCCCAGGATCAACACAGAAACCTTAAATAAAGGAGGTGAGAGGTGAGCTAATTCCCACTCCCAAAGCATCTACCCTGTAGCAAATACTCTCCAATTACTCAACACAATAAACTTTAACAATTAACACTTCCCTTCACTCTGTCCTCTCATTTCACCCCCATATACACCTTGAAGCTTCTTTAAATGACAATTATTGAGAGAAAATCTACATTTCTCATGATTTCAGCCACTCTGCATATTGGCTGAGAAGGTCATACAAGAGCAAAAACAATGAAGAAGGTTCAGCTGGGTACCCTAACACATCATAAAAACCAGAGGGCTGCTTTATGGGTTGCCAATAACTAGGTTCAAATAAAAATTTCTTGGAAGTAATCAAAAAGGCATCTGCTGACTTTCCTCGTTATAATTAAAGTTATATTAAGGGAGATATAGAGCATTTTATACAGGAAAGTGTAATTATCCTCCATTTAAGAGGTAAAGTTTCCATTCTCTGGACACAAGAGAACTCAGAACAATGGCCATATTTGAAGCACATGAATTAGGGCACTGCTCAAACCTCATCCAGATAGGCATGATAGAAAAAGAAAAAGAAAAAAATTAACTAAAAAAAAAAACATTTAAAAGAGCAAAGTAACACAGTAGAAAAGAGTAGCATAGAAGAACAAAGTAACATGGTACCTCCAAGGGATATCTAATAAGAATGTCTAAGAAGCTTTGAACTAAAATTACCACATATGCCAACCTGGTCAGATGTGTGTGCATGCATTCACAATTAAACTGAAAAATAATCACATAAATTGATATTAAATCTCTTACAGTCTGGTCCTGAGTGTAGCATGGGAGATGAAGATGCCACATTAAGTTACTATCAACTAACACTCTCAATCACAGTGTTAACAGCAGATAATATAATTGGTAACTTATTCTGAAGCATTTTCTATCATTAAAAGCCACTACTGTACTGTTAACTTATTTTAAGGGGCCATGGCAAGGGTTCAAAGTTCGCAAGATGATAGTTCTTGATTCTTGTGTGTGAAGATGTTTATGGGGCATTGTGTACCTAAAAATCAATATCTTACCAATTTTGAACCCATGAATTAAGCCTTAAACATATGCAAAAAGTTATATGAGCTGAGGATATTATGTGTATACTGTACACGGTGTCTCATAGGTTACACGCCACAAGAAATCAACGAAGACTGGCAGAGGAGGACCAATCAAATGAGGTCTCCAAACTTCACCCCTCGATTTGTTCCTATGGGGTCACCTACTGTATATGGTTCTTGGTAGATGAGAGAGTTTAGGTGTATAAGGAAGTCATCAAGTGGGGTGAAGTCCGAAGATGTTACTGGGTATTCGATTGGCCCTTGTTGCCCGATCTTTGTACTCTTGCTATGATACACACATGCACGCACGCACGCATGCACACAAAGAGAAATATTTTAATTTTCCTTTAGTGACTGACCTATGAGACTCCTTGTATGTACCCCAAACTCAGCCGAGATTTTGTCAATGTTTAAGGGTCAGTTCGGAGGATTCACAGCTGGCACAATACTGAATTTTGAATATACAGAGACCTTTCACTCACTCACTATTTCAAAATACAAGCATACACACACACACATACAATACACACATACAATACACACACACAACAAATACACACACATACAATACACACACACGACAAATACACACACATACAATACACACAAACACAACAAAGACACAGTTCCAAAAAATAGTACCATGCCAAATTTGAGCCATTGACATGACCCCTTAATTTATTTCTATGATTAAAAACCATTACAGTACTAAGCACCTATGTTATAATAATAATAATAATAATAATAATAATAATAATAATAATAATAATAATAATAATAATAATAATAAAAAAACTGAAATCTTCCAGTCAATGAGCACTTCAAGAAACAAAAGACTGTACACACTGCCTCATCACAACTGCTGCTCAAATAAAATAAATAAATAAATTAATCTTCAGTAAGTTACCACAGAAGGGGTAACCTACCTATGGGGCATTGAACTGATGTGGTATGCATAAAGATTATCAATAACCAAGATCTAGCCAATTACCACAAGAATAAACTAATAAAAGCTGTTTCTTAACTATAGTTCTGTCCGATCTTTTATTTAACCTTTCTTTTGACCGAGAAGTCTGAGTCGTAGAAGACAGAGTGATATCTATGACCAGTACAGTATGTTATTATTAAAAGGGGAGAAATAGAGTGACCTAAGCAAAACATTCCTTCAGTAATCTAATAGTACCCATTTCTCTTTTGTTTCTTTAACCACATAAGCATTTCTTTTAACTATAAATTCCCCATCAGTTTCATCAATAGAGTCCTTAGTGGGTTCCAATATTATTCAATCACTTAAATTCACCCCAAAAAGGATCTTATGCTTATCTCATTACTCAACACAAAGAATTAAGATTTACTCCAAGACCCTCTTGACCCCCCTTCTCAATAATAAAATATACTCTTGTAATATACTTAGCATTTTCTTACTGTACATTCATATTATATAGTATAGTATATCCATTCAGTCACAGTTTTATACACTATTTACAAAAGTCACAAGACTCTGAGTAGTACACATTTTTATCAGCAGTGTTTAATTCCAGTTAATAATATTAACATCAGAATACCATAACACAGTATCTTATTTCCCTTTAGACACTCTGGCCCCAGTTGTGCTCTTCAAAATTTTCTTTTCATGTTTGGAGCACACTCAGCCACACCCTAGTTCATGTGCATTAATGCGTCTGCCGACCATGCAGTATTAAAAAACTTAGTGAACTATGCACTCATAAATGGCTTTAATATTTCTTTTTTGGTTGTATAATTTTCTACTCTCTCGCTACGTCTTCAGGAACTTGGCTGCTGCACACTAACCACGACATTCTCTCTAATCTGTACTGGTGTCAGTCTTCTGTCACTCTCATACATCTCCTTCATTACCTTACAACCAATCCTCTGTTAATAACATCCATACACTTCATCTATGGTGACTTTGCCTACTATACTGTACTGTACTCACATCTTCCAACTACATACTAAAACATCTCTCAACTTTTCTATACTGTAATTTAAATGAATCAGTTGGATGTAGAAACTTTTTTGATTGAATAATTTATAAAGAGCATTATCTAGTGTTGTAGGAGAGGTGCCTAGTCATACTACACTTTATCTCTTACTGGCCATTACGAGTATATTGTATCACCCTGCATCTTTGACTAGTAAGCTTCTTCAACATACTGAAACTCAAATAATAATGACATGACATTTGGTGTACAGGTACATTATTAATAAAAAAATTATTAGTCAGTAAAATTTCAAAAAAGCCAATTAAAAGCAGTGTGAATTAAATAAATTTAAAATTTACCTTTGCCAGCAAAGTGAATAAAAATTACATTCAAAATATGTACTGATACTGTTAAATTTTTGCCAATGTCATTATATAAAAACATTTAAGAAATATAATAATCATAATACTTTTCTTTAATATAATTAACAAATTCTGATACACTAAAACATCATTATCAAAGAAGACCAATTTTCTTCTAAATGCTGAGAAAATCAGTCTTACAGAGATACTATACAAAATGAGCAAGAAAGATGATAACTGCAAAAAAGGTGCAAATATGGGATATGGTAAGGTGCAGGAAAGGGAATGTGTGTGTGTGGTGAGATTAATACTAATTCCGGGGTGTGTATGGGTCAACTATGTGTCTGTGTGGTACTATATCTCCGCTTAGGCTTCATACGTAACATGTGATTATAAACAAGCACCAATAAGATGGCTTAAAATCACTTCATTAGGATTTATTATAATTTATTGAAGCATTTAAGTGAATTCTAAGCAACTTTTAAGAGAACAAATCACATTTAAGCTCAGCCAGTAATCTGATACCAATATGACAAGGAGACTCATCCTCATCACACGACTATCAAATATTGGGAGATGCTTTTGCTGTGAATAAATGTATCCCTAGTTACCGCTACCCTCCACCATATTAAAGTTAAGTTTACTTTTTAAGGTTCACTTTACGAACCTTACCCAGCAACATAATCTGGGCGACCAATTACAAAAACTTACTACTGTTTTTTACCCAGGTTGTCCTGGCCTGGGAGGGTCTGAATTAGAGGGTGGAGGTCAGGCAGGGGTCATGTTGTTATTAGTCGTGGATGTCGCGATAGGGTATTTCGGAGGAGACCTGGTAGTCATCGAAGAAGTGATGCAAGAAGTCAAAGGTGGGCCGATGATCAGGATCCTTGTCCCAGCAGTGGAGCATGGCTTTGTATAATTCATCTGGACATCGGGGAGGTTTGGCCATCCGGTAACCCGCTTGCACTCGTTCTATCACTTCTCGGTTGTTCATCCCTAAAAGGCAAGAACGCATTGCAAGCGATAATGCAAAAGCAAGCAAAAAGCACACGTAAATAAGATATATAAATTGCATTAGAGAATAACTGCTTTTGAATGAAAGAAAAGCAAAACACCTGTATATTATATTATTTAGGTCATAATCAACTCTCTCGCTCTCTCTCTCTCTCTCCTGTCAGTAACTCTTCCTGTTATGGTACAGTTCTCCCCTTCTACAACAAGGCCTTGAATAACTACCTGGTTTACTCCCCTCTCACTTCACACAACCCGGCATTACCTATCAGCAGCTTATCATTTCCTCCATAAACAAAAGAAACAATGTTCTCCAGTCATGCATGTACACTTCTGTTTCTAGTGTAACCTTCACCCTCTCCTTTCAGCTCTCTCTTGGTCTTCTCTCCCACTAAATTACACTATTTTTATTAATCTATCATCTACCATTCACTCAATATGTTCATACCACAGCAAAAAACCTTAATCCACTCTTTGCTCAGCATTTTCTTTCACTTCCACTTCTTCTATCTGAGCTTCTTGTTCTATGCATCCTGTCCTCCTCACATATTGCTCTCAGGCATGACATTCTGCTCCTTCCCTTTGCACCTAGAATCCAAACTTCCCTCGGTATACTTAACAGACTTATTCCTCTTTAATTTCTACATTCTTATCAACTTAATTGGTGAAACTGTAGACACACTCTGCCATCTTTGGTACCCTTCCTTCCTCACAAAGCCTGTACTCTCTTGTCATCCATTACAACAATAAAATGATTCCAAAATATGTGCTAGCTATTTTGCTGTATGTAGCTGTAACAATGGCTAAGCATTTTGATACACCATGGGGGGTATTGCAATAACTCTTGTAATCCACAATGTCATCCAGGAATGAGGAACAAACTATTTTATTATTTTGATTTTTTCGGTTCAACACCGTGTGCATCACATCTTAACTATCCACAAATTAGTTTCCCGGTAAGATAACTCAACAGTCCAATTAGTTACAATAAAACAAAATTTACAATTCTGCACCCAGAGTGTTGTCCAATGTTATATCATATTTCTCGTGTTAAATTAATATTGACTTTCCGTTCAGCATGCATTTACATATATTTACAGTGTACATAATAATTACTGCTACTACTGCAATATCCCCTTTTGTGATTTCAAATGCACCAGCAGATATAATTACTCCAGTTTGAAGCACTTATTTTAAAGTAAACTGATTCACCTTAGAATATAAAATAGTAGCATCTTATCATGTAGTAAGCCAACAGATATGGTCAGTAATATCACCTACCTGGATATGGGTTAGCACCAAACGTGATCACCTCCATCAGCAGCACCCCAAATGACCACACGTCAGACTTGATGGTGAAGCGGTTGTATAACATGGCCTCAGGGGCAGTCCACTTGACGGGGAATTTGTTACCTGCAATAATAATAATAATAATAATAATAATAATAATAATAATAATAATAATAATAATAATAATTTAAAGAATAAATCTATTACAGTTATCAACACAACCCAATATAAACATTTCCTACAGTCAACAATGTGAACTACAAAATAATCTAAATTATTACACATTCTCAGCACTTTAGTCAACTTGATCACTAAACAATTCAATGTAAATTATAATTTAAAATGCTCTTAATATTGAGAGCAAACTACTGTACTGTATTAAGAATCAATATAAGCAAATGAAAACCAAAGGATCAACTCACAGGTGCTCGGACAGTAGTCTTCTCCCTCCACTATTCTTGCAAGGCCAAAGTCAGCTACTTTACATAGCAAAGAATCACCGACTAATACATTACGAGCAGCTAAATCTCGATGTAGTAACTGTAGGCTTTCAAGATATGCCATTCCTGCTGCAACCTGTAAAAGTAAGATTTGTTGAGCTCTGACTGTAAAAACAAATAAATATTAAAGATCTCTCTCAAAGTGACTGTGATAATGTCTTTGGAAAAACTGCTGGCTATGAACAGGTGAATGTGTGTGTGTGTGTGTGTGTGTGTGTGTGTGTGTGTGTGTGTGTGTGTGTAGTAAGATAGAGTGCATCCTTTCTCTCTGTTCTGTCTATAGGTACTTGCCATTATTGACAAACAATGAGACAAATATAACACAACTAGGTAATAACAAACACTTCAGTACAGTAATAAAATCAATGTACTGAGAGAAAAATTCCTTCCTCAATATGACTTCCTGATTAATATATTTTTCATGTCTAAATAAAGGCAAACAAGGAACTGCTTTTATAAATAATAAAAGTTTAATTTATTAACAGAGTCCAAGAGACAATGAATTCTGAATATATTATAAGTACAGTAAGTGATTTTATTGTATAACTTTCCTACTTATATTTTTTAAAGCTCATATTTTTTCTTTTGTTTAAGAAGTAATGTTCTTTCTCTCATCGTTGAACCAATTTTTTGCACAAACTATTTAAAAGAGGTTGAAAATAAGCCTTAATGAGGCTCCTACAGCCTTATTAGTTCAGTTGTGTTCCAATGGAAGTGTTTGTTACACTCTCTCTAAAATTATTTACAAGTACTGTATACATCACTGTTCTTACACTGTAATAATAATGCTGTAGCAGCTTATTGAAAAATACATACCTGTGTGGCCACATATATAAGGTCATTGAGTTTTAAGGTGCGTTCGCCTTCATTCCTGAGTAAGTCTAATAGCGCACCATTACACATGTACTCAGTGACAATCAGGATGGGTTCCTCCTTAGTACAGACAGCGTAAAGAACAAGTATATTACGATGCCGTAATTTTTTCATGATTCTTGCTTCTTCAAGGAAGGCAGAGGGACTCATTGCTCCTTGTTTAAGTGTCTTGATGGCTACTTCTGTTGAGTTATTCCACATTCCTGTTAATGATAACAGTTATTATAAACTTATTTCCTTAGTGTCAGGTCTCGGTATTATTCTCTCAAGCAACAACTAACCAATAAACACTATGTAATGAACTGTGGCATCACTAGTAAAGGCCACCATAAAATACTCACCATACCAAACTTCACCAAAAGAACCGTGTCCCAACTTTTTATCCATAGACAGGACTGAGCGGTCAATCTCCCACTGATCTTTTGTCTCTCGTGACAAGTCCCATTTCTGGGGCTGTGGACGAGGACACGGGTACTGCAGGAGACACGCTAACCCATAGTTGTTCTCTGTACGGTGGACAATGTAAAATCAGTTTACCATAATCATTGTTATTCTTAAAACATATCATTACCCTTTATTTACCTCCATATACAGGTAATATCATAAACAGTAATGGCATACATAAATGTGTAGCAGAGAAGCACTGCTCAAAATCACCAACATCTGTAACTCCTGACTTTACAGTAAAATATACCCTTCATGAATCACGGATATGAAACAAAGTGACCAAGTATAAGAGTCTGACTTTGGACTAATTTGCCCAAGATGACATAAAACAGGTGTCCAACACTCACTTTTGTAAGCATCAACTAAGTCATTGAGCGTCCGGAAGGCTTGAGATGATGTGATAAAGTACCCCCCTGTGTCTGTGACCTTGATTCGGTAGTGCTTCACATGTTCACCTTTGTTTTGATCCCAGTCCTGGTCAAAAGAGGATCTGGTTAATCTATACATCATACACAAGGAACTGGAAGTGAAAGTTTGTGCTGGAGAGACAACTTTAGGCTTTACAATCTCACTCTGGTGAAAACTGCCAGTTTGCATCCAAAATTAATAAACGTGTGAGCACTTGTAATTAACTGAATAACTCTGACATTCCTTCTCTATAAATGCAGATAAATTTTATTATCAAAAAGTGAACTTGTGTCTAAAAGACACAGCTAAGTGCCTAAGACAATGAGACATAACTACAAAATATATTCATTAACTATTCTAAATCAGAAAAAAAAGGTTAAAGTCTCTTGCTGTCATCCTATATCACTAATAAGGCTTGATATGAAAATATATAAACTCTCTCTATATCAGTTATAATCCTTAAATACTGTATTAGTCAAATACAATATACTGAATCTTGAAAGTAATATCCTTAAGGATGGGTATCATGTTTGTCTTAAGTTACTTATAACTCCTTTATTACACTTACAGTATATCTAATACAGTACTGTACATGCCAACAGTGATACTGACCCTTATACTGAGGGAATACCCATGACTAGACTGTTCGGACATGCGAATAAGGAAGGTTCCCCTTAAATTTCCTTGTGTCATTAATAATTTCTCTGCCTCCTTCCTTGCTATCTTGCTAAAGTACCAGCTAGAAAACAAAGGTTAAATATTAAGTCACATCCTTTATAATTCTATAAACACTGTACACTTTTAGCTTTTATGATTCTCACAAAATGTGAAACTGAGAAAATCCTAAGTCTGAGATTATAACCAATTGACATTTCCCTGATGATGTTTATGGAAGAAAACATTATCTCATGGGTTAAAATTGACCACAATATTAATACTGTATTCATAATTACCTTAACAGAATAAAAAATAAATCAACAAATAATCATAAGTTTCATCAGCACTGTCTCAATCACTGTGTGAATGAGCGAGTTAGGAGAGGCATTCATATAGCTTTCTGATGCATGTAAATTTAATACTTACTCTTGGCATTCAAGAGAGGAAGCCGACGCTACGTAGTTCTTAGGTATGTAGCCTTCAGTACATCTGGTCATGTGCCGCGCCAACCACCAGTCTGCATCACTGTAAACAAAAGCTCAACTGTAATAACTTAACAATATACAACTTACTGTTGCCTCACCATCTTCTCCCACTAACCTCTTTACCTGTAGTATTTCAATCCTTTCCTTCTTAAAATGTCTACCTTCAACCCTTTCCTTCTTAAAATGTCTACCGTCATCTCTTCCCTCTCTTAAAATGTCAACTCACATCTTTCTCCGAGATGTTGTGAACATATTTTTATTCCCTTTACTTTCTTTCATTAATGCACTACAGTCTGCTTTATTATCTGTATGAGTTCAATAATCTTTTCTTAAGGTCAATCACCACATCTCGTAGTGCCTTTTCACTTTATCTTTCAACGGGTGAAAAATAGCCATACAAATTTGATGAATAAATGATGCTATGATGATGATGATGATGGCGCCACTTTTAATATTTGACTTAGTTAGAGCCCGATGATTTTATCCAGGGGAGAGTGGACCCCCATACACACAAGGTTAAAGAGCAATGGTAACTCCTCCAACTTTCATTATGACCAAAAATATAAATATTCAACTTATTCTAAAAACAGAAACATCCAAAAAAATTACGGGTGAGGAGACATCAGTTCCCCTAAACTTACGCATCATTGATAATTTCCATTTTATCGCCTTTATCAAAGCTAAGTTCACCACTACTGCGACCCTGGAATGAATACATGGCCACCACAATGCGACCTCCACGAGAAGGCGTTGACGGTGTGACTGGTTCTGTGGGAATATTTAAGTCGTGAGTTAATTACAGGTTACCTTAACAGAGATAATTAATAAATATATATAATTATCCCTTCTTCATAACTCATGGCCAATAACATTAATATTATAAACTATATCAAAAGCATATACAGTACATGAAGATTTATTATTTTATGAACTGAAGACTTTGGAAGTTATTGAAAGAAAATTATAAATGAGAACTTTATTGAGCTGAAACTAAAATAAAAAGAATTTCAACAAAATCTAAAAGCTATTAAAACCACAAACCCTTTCTGCAGACACAAATGACCAAGACAACTGGTATTCAAAGTTTTTACATACATAACTTATGAGAAGATATTCAGTACTGTACCGAAGTCTTCTCCAGAAATGTATGAAAATCATTAAATCTTCTGACCAAACAAAAACAAAAAATAAATGGATAAATAAAAAAAACTGCAAGAACATGATGCACCAACGGTCGATGTCACCTTAGTGTATAGTACTGTACACACTTCATTTGTGCCATTAAACTAACTACAGTAAAACATAAAATACAGTAATACAGGTAACTCCGTTAGCCAAAATCCCTCAAACCCGGAACTCCCCGATCGCCGAAACTGAAATTTTCTCCTAAAATCGTTCCCAAAGCCTTAATTTTCCAAAAAATTACGACTTTGGAAACGATTTTCCGAGGGGCACATTTTCCAGAAAATTCTGAGAACATTTTTCCGTTACCTGGAAAATTCCGGAGAAGAGGGATTTTTATCCGGCTTTAAAAGAGTTGTCTCATTACCCGGAAGTACTCTGCACCAATTGTTCCAGCTAATGGAGATATCACTGATACCATGAGTCACCACATGTCGTGTGAATGAGTCACCCGTGTTAGTGAGGCATCATGCTCTCGGTGAGTTTTCCTTGACTGTATTTAAAGCTACTGTACTATTATATTCCACTGAGTAAAAGATGCACTGATACAAAATGTATTCAACTGGTTTTGTAAGTGAGGGCAATATTATTTGACCTTGGTGTAGCAAACTAAAGCATACAGTACATGTAAAACTGAGAGAAGATATGTGTGTTTTTGGTTAATACAGTACTAACAACAAATCACACTCCATAATACATTACTTGATTAATAAACAACACAAGTACTATTACCTTACCGATCCTCCTTGGTGAAAAATTCCACATTTACCCGTGCACAAAAGAAATACTTGTGGGTTTTGACATAAGTAGGGATGTTAAAGCCATTTTAAAGACACATCATTGTTTAAATACTGTACTAGGGTAAATCTCCAATTAACTGTGAATATTATATAGGATTAGTTATCTAATGGCACACATAACTACTGTATTACCTTAGTGATAGTAAAACACTTCAACAGTATAGTACGTACAGTAACTGTGTTCTTTTAGCTCCAATATCAAGTGAAAGTGAAAAAAAAAACGATAGAAAAAGTAATAACAACAAAAATAATGATAAAGAAAGAAGCATAGCAAAAGCAGGCAGAGCTCTCTACAGCCAAGGCACAGTGAGTCACCCCCAACATACCTGGTGTGTTGGATCTGGGGGTCCAGCGATGAGAACACCTAACTGTACCATTCACCAACACCAAACAAAAAAAAACAAAAAAAAATCGGTACAAAAGAATGTAGTATAAATCAAATAAGGTAGAGAACTATCAATCTATCTTTAATAATGTAGTAAAAAAAAATAACGAGGGGATATTTATTTCATGCATACAAAACTACAATATATATCACATAACATTTTTGTTTATTTTTTTAAACAAAGACATACAGTAGTACACCTATGTTGAAGATATTGTTGGCTCCGTTACTGGTACATCACACAAGAGCGATGAGCAACATACGGACATATAACTAGCAGTGACCTTGAACAACGTCATCATGAGAAGTACTTTAGTTATTTTTTTTCTTTCTGTTTAATTTTATGGACCAGTTCTTAGCTAGCATGATACTGTTTGGGGAGCCTGTGGTGTGGTGTGGTGTGGTGTGTCTGTGTGGTGTGGTGTGGTGTGTCTGTGTGGTGTGTCTGTGTGGTGTGGTGTGTCTGTGTGGTGTGGTGTGTCTGTGTGGTGTGGTGTGGTGTGTCTATGTGGTGTGGTGTGTCTGTGTGGTGTGTAGTGTAGTGTAGTGTAGTGTAGTGTAGTGTAGTGTAGTGTAGTGTAGTGTGTGTGTGTGTGTGTGTGTGTAAGAAATCTTTTAAATTTTGGTTCATGTGCAGAGGTCAGTTGAGGACACATACAGACACACTATAAACACCCTCCTTCCTCACACACACACACACACACCTACCTCTCAAGATAATATCGTGTCAACTCTTAACCCATAACTGTCCCCATTAAATCCTCGTCCTCAGTATACTCGCCCCCAATTACCGGTAGTACTTGTATTCTTAAGACTTCTGTAACTCTTATGAGACTCTTGTGTATGTAATAACTTTAAATTTCTTTACACTGTCTTATGTTGTTATCTGCATGTAGCCAGTTCTGATATAAAATACTTATTCCTGTACAATAATATGATAATACTGCATTGTATCAAATTACTGGACAACACAAACTTTTACTTTGGTCTGTGAGCTAATTTTCCTCTTCTTCCCGATAAGTAGAATAGTTGTGATCAATTACTGGGTTCTATTGCCGTTCAGCGCAGGTAACTTAGCCTTACCGTCCATTAATGAGAACATGTTGTGTGAGAATAAGCTTTGAAGATGATACTTGTGCAGCAGCAAGGTCATATAGGTGTTGTGATGATACCAAATCCATTCTTAAAGGTTCCTGTAGCTTCTAGTTTACTGATTATTGGAAACCTGGTGTTATAAACTTGAGGGTAAATATCTACCGTATTCATCTCTTTCCTGCTGGTTCTTCTCTTCATTAGGATTTGTTAATATGTCGTAGAGCAAAATTTCCATTAATTTCTTATTTTCAACGCAAACTACAGAATAAAATATCAGTTCCATATCTAATGACTCTTAACATATACTGAAACATAAAGACCTTAAATAAATAATAATGACTGACAACTACGGTAACTGTACATTGTTAAATCACCTCGTGCAGATATATACACTTGGCCAGTATCACATCATTTATATATGTAGGAGGCAGGATGAGGTACTGTACTACATATCATTATTAAGAGATAGAAAATATTTGAACAAGACTCGCTGGACCAAAATCTTTAACTGGATAGATATTTGGGAGGAAGAACGGACACACAGAGGGATGGTAAAGTCAGCCATTTAATGATCCCTGTCATTGGTGGTGGAGTTATAAGAATTACCGGTAATAAATAAAACAACTGAAATCTCGGCTACAGTATTCAATATCCTTAATGCATCATCATAGACAAACCTAAATTGTTCTTATCATTGTATTTATCCTTCCAATGGAGTAACCTTTATAGCAAGTTATTTCTCTTTACAGTATACAGTATCATCTTTACGTCTTTCACTTGCCTTCCATTTCTGAGTGGGACGGTTCATGGGTGCTGAAACTCCCACTAAAGGCGAGAGATTAGTACCATATGTTATCCACTTTCAGTACAATATGGTACAAAATAAAACCACAGCAACAGTTTGGAGTTTACCAGCACAATTTTGACGTACAGCATTAACTTGAAATACCCAAGGGATATTTATGTGTGTGTCGCCCAGCTTATAGTACAGTACAGGAAAAAGGCCATGCATTGGACTGGTTGATTTATTGAACTGGTTTAAAGGGTCGTGTACAGAGGATTTAGAGATGGAATGTGACTAGTTTTAGGACGTGTGTGTGTGTGTGTGTGTTAGACCATCTATATAGTGTCCATCTCCATACAAAAATTCAGTAGTGTAGGGGAGTTACTGTATACTACACTGCATCTCCCCGATCCACATGAATTTGTGAATACTTTTGGATTCAGTTCAGGGATTCAAAGTTGGCACGACACATTTTTAGGTTCATACAATATAGACAACATAAATCTATCTCACACATGCAGGTAATCATGCACAAGCACAAGCTCACACAAACACACACACATGCATACAAACATACACACACAGTTTCATGCCATTTTTCAACCAATAATAATTACCCCCTCAATACAGGGTCAGCACTGAACTGTAAAATCACTACCTCATAATACATACTGTAATTCACTGCCATTATTACGTCTCAAGAATCACGTCGTTACTCATAACTTTCTCACCACTATACAATACACACAGTAGTTCAGAACTGAGGTCATGCAGCACGAGACATCTGTTCACGTCATCGACTAAAACTAAAATCATTCCTCACAACAATACCCTGAACCTAACTTCCTATAACAGATATAATTAACAAACACTTTATCATATGAAGAAACTAACCTTTTGATCTCTACCATGACTTATAAATCACAATAAATAATAACAATAACTAAATAACACAAAATTCAATACTTTTCCATTAACTAAGAAACACTATCATGTACTGACTTGGATGTAAGACTGAGAAGAAAAAATATATAAAACTGATAAATAAAGATGAGATATAGAGAAGACGAAACTAGAGAAAGAGAAACTGAATAAACTAATATGTCTATAAAACAAAGGAATTATTTTATTCTTAATGTCAAGTTGTGATTTAAAGTTCATGGTATTCGTCACAGTCACTCGTCCGGGTAATTTAGTAACATTCATTATGCCTTGTAATTTATATCAAGATGCATTCCTAGTGTTGTCCCAATAACCCAGAACCTTCATGCATATTGACCTCTCTCTCTCTCTCTCTCATCCCCTCTCACACACACACACACACACACGGTCTCTCTCTGTCTCACACCCTCCCCCACACACATTCTCTATCTCATCCTCCCACTCACACATTATCTCTCCCTCTCTCTCACATCCCACACATTCTCTCTCTCCACACATACAGTACATATTTCCTCAAATCATTAAAAGAACCTCAAACTGCACTCAACAAGATCCTCTGGAAATATCTCATCCCTCTCCCAAAAACAGCTACAATTCTACCACCAACTTGGACTAACTTGCAACACAACCAACAGCCCTAAGCAAACATATTACACTCCATACCAGACCTGATATCAATCAACCAAGTCTATGAAGAGCGTTGGATGAAAATCATATCAATAAAAGACAGATTGACAGACAAAAGAGCATCACTGTTATAACTTCCAATCTTTAAGTTGGAGGATATAAAACTCATGGCATACCTGTACTGTACTGTATATATTTATGTCATCTTGGCTTTATTAGTTCTGTACAGTATTACAATCAGCTGTAAGCTTTTGTAAAGTCTTTCAAATCCTTTTTAGCAATATCTGAACATCTTGTACACTTGCAGATGCTTCCATGCAATAATCTTATTACTTGCATGCAAACACAAGTCAATTTAGACTACCTCAACCACCTGGTCATCCCACTGCTCAAGACAAAATCAATATAAATTCCCAGCCTGATACTGTATGACATTACAGACCCATACTGTACCTTATTCCATCCTTAAGTAATTACTATTCACTCAGTCCTCCACAACTACATCAATACACTTCATCCTTAAGCACTTTTTACAAACCTGACTTTTAATAATATCTATAAATGATGTGAAGGATCTACATTACTGTCCTACCATAAATCCCCAATGATGTAAATACAGTATACTGTATTGTACTCTTTATCACTGAATTACTGTATGCAAACCATCTCCATCTACACCAAGTAAGTCATTTCCTCGTGTAAACATAAGAAGGGCCCATCACTGTAACACATAACACCTCCCCCACATAAGGAAGGGTCCCAGGTTGGCTAGATGCAAGTCAATTTGGTGTAGGGTCACATGAGACAAGTTTTTCTGCACCCAATATTTAACCCAAACTGTCATGGGACCCAGCTCAGTGTGCCCTGGGTCGACCATGGGCCAGGAGAGCATCACCATCCTCCACCAACCACTACACTATCTGCCTGTTCTCTCTTTTCTAAACAGTTTGGTGTTGTATATCTAATCAACAGCAACAAAACACATCTGTTCCATCATAACACTCTATACTATACTGACCCAATACTGCGCACACACACACACACACACACACACACACACACACACACACACACACACACACACACACACACACACACACACACACACGCGCACACACAACAAATGCAAACAACACACACACAAACACTAAAAATTACACAAAATATACAGTACTGTACACACCAAATAATATACAGAACACATACACACTAAGACACACTCACATACAATCACACACAGAGGTACACATACACAAACAAACACACAAAAACAAGATTTAGGGTAAAAAATAATGGAAGAAAATTAACCCCTTGTGCTTCAGTCCACCATAAAAGTTAATTTGACGACTGCAGTTCAATGTATAGAATTAAAATAACTAGAGACCATAATTTTTTTTTCATAATAACTACATACAGTATAGTATAAAATTGGTCCTTATCAAATTTGTCTCGGCTGAATGACAACCAACCAACCATCACAACTTGGTGTGGTAAAGGTTCACATTAAGTAAAGTACAGTAGAAGATAACAAATGATTATTCACTTCTTAATTACAGTACAGTACTGTATAATCATCTTGTACAGGTATTAGACTACAGTAATTTATTTGGCTCTCAAAAGTTTTTTTTATTCGTTACAATTACTGTAATATACAGTAATATATAAATACTGTATATAAGTTATGTGATGCACTTTGTAAGTCATTTATCATTATAAAAAGATTTCCGCAGCTAGGTCACTTCACCCTACCAACAGTTAAGTACATTTAAACAAATCTGTCAGAACTGTTTTAATTAAAATTTTGATTTCATGGACAATTCCAATTATCTTGAGTTGAACAATAACTATGTTTCATTTATTTGTATATTAGTTTTGGAATTAATATACTGTATGAGATGACTCAGAGGACAAACAGCACCCTGATAATGTATAAAGAACAAGGGGATAATTTCTCTTGGAAGGGAACTTTAAGTAAATCTATGAACAAAGAAGAAAGAAGGGAACACTGACTGTATACTGCACTTTAAACTTTCAATATTATAAACAAACAGCCAAAATCAACCTCCCTAACCACTTACCAGACTCCTTCCGCATCCGCATGTGACTACCATGTTGCTGCTGCACCCAACCATGTGCTGGTAACCCTGAGGATGGAACCGGTTATCATCATAGTCTGCCACCAACTTCTCTTCCGCTATTTATACCCAAATTTCTTAAGAGTTCTCGTGTAAAAATGTGGAAACGAGGCACCACACCTTCCCGAGTTCTTCCGTTAAAGGATGGACGAGAAGAGACCTCTTCGTGTTTCAATGACTTATTACAAACAAAAGACCCTGAACCTGCAACAGCAATCTAAACACAGATTTTGCACAGTACATTTGATACACTCATCTAAGCTATCAAGAAATTATGTCAATATTTACCCAGTAAGCATTACACACTTGTTGAATGACTATCTTATTTCACATTTGCTGTTATTTTGTTTTCATCCACAAATGTACATCAAACACCCATTCATGATTCTCCTGGATGACATATAGGGAGCTTACAGCTTCTACTGAGGACCTCCGAGCATCACCACCCGTGAAAACCTTAACTTTCTTCCCGCATGCTCTAACAACTCCATTCAACATACATCTTTGTTGTAGTGCCAGTACATGCATATGTCAGTTCAGCCATGTGGCAAGGAAGAGGAAACCATGGAAGACACACACTTTGACTGTTGGCAAATTTGAAAGAAGGTTCAGAGCATTAATGCAGTCAGACCTCACAGTCCAACAAGAGCAGCAGTGATGTGGATGAAGGCTCCACATGCATCACTCTCCATTAGGAATAAACTATCCATATGGAAAGTTAGATTAATGTGGTGTCTGTGATTCTGTGACCAGATGGTTCACGGCTTATAAGCTAATTTATCCCCACTACTAGAGACGTGAACACATACCCAATTAAGTCATTTAGGCTACAGCTATAAACTTACATCCAAAATGACATCAATATTACACTGAGACAACCAAAACTATATGCATTGTTTTATCACTAGACAAGAGTAAGAAAATTAACATATGAATTTTAAGAATCTGACATGAGGATAATTGACGGTGACTGATCAAGAGTGTGACTGATGCAGGATTATACACATGACTCTTGACAAATTTTATACACAAGAGTATAGCAAAACTTCTACACTTAAGTCAAAGTTGTACAGTACAGTATAACATCACAAAGGGCTGCATACAACAAACTAAACAGTGAAATACAGTACAGGGTTGGACAGGTAAGACTGACTAGAGACAAAGCCTTGTAGTATTATTAACAAGACTGCAATATACCAGGTAAACTCTCTTCCTCTTAAGGCTCACTTAACCCTCATCACACAAGCTTCCTGAATAACCTTTAAAGATGGTTTCAGGAACTTGTTTAAACAGGATGACTTAAGACTTATTTTCTGATCCTACAAAATACTGTACACTGAACCTATCCACCAAATAATGACACTTTTGACAATGTACAAACACAGTACAACCAAGTCGTCAATTTACTTTGGTTCTACTTGTTTTGTCATGATAAAATTTCATTAACAAATTAGACAATAATTATCTAAGTTGTGCCTGCCCAATAAAACATACTTTTTGCCATGTTGAGCACTAAAAATATTCTAACAGCTTGCCAGAAAAAATGTTGTGGGACTGCCAGCTGAGTGTTTGAAGTGGCAATATACCTCACTGTACCCCCAGTCTAAGAGAAGAAACCCACAATGGGAGATGAAAAGTTTATTCCTTGTCCGTAACTCCACTGAGGACGGTGACAGTTGTTGCCGAAGCAGAACCTTTAGACCGCCATTATGTTTTTCTTCTCTAGTGTTGATGACGTTATGGCGACTCTCCTGTCGATACCCCATCACTGGTCAGTCAGTGAGCGTAGAGTGTTCTTCCTTGTGATTATTTTTGAATTATTTTATTTAATTTTTGTCTCTAATACAGTAAGTTGACAGAGGAACCAGACTCATTCCTGCTACACAAACATATTTTATGAAAGTTTAGATTCCTACATATTATTCATTCAATGCAATACCTGAAACCCACTAATTTCAGCTTTAATTCAACAATCAGGGAATGAAAAATAATATAAATTCATTCACACAAAATGTTAAAGTTCATTCCGTTCCAACATCATTATTGCTTTTTTAACATCTGTCCTTCTCATAATCCTTTACAGCAATCCTGAATCAAATCATTATTCACTTTGTCTATAAATCTAATTATCAAACGCACATTGGGGGGAAAAGAATTACCTGGTACAGCACATCTAAACAATGCAATTTCAATGTCCGCTGATCCTTCCTGTTTCACACGTAATGAGAATATCAATGACCATGGATACTGCATTGTTTTAATACTATTTTGTCAATCTGATTTATGAATTTAATATGAATTAGTTTTGTCACTTATAATGCTGTGTGAGAAATGTCTTGGAGATTCTTGACTAAAATTTGAATAGTAAACTTCTCTTCTATAAGTTTTTTTTTTATTTATTTTTTATCTTTTAAATTTCTGTGTTGTATTGCACACCAGGTTGTCTTTCCATCCACTTTTTTTACTCCAATTCATCTTCCAAATGTAGTTTAACTCCTTGAGTATAAAGACAACCCCTTGAGTACAGTAACATAACCCCTTCACCGCGATGACATAACCCCTTGAATGTATCTTAAAGGCATTATACTCAAGGAGTCATCATACTCAAGAGGATTAAATCATCATACTCAGAGGTACTAAATCATCAATCATACTCAAGGGCCTAAGTCTATGTATGTCAACCATCACACACCTGGTACAGTTCTGCCTCAAGTCATTGGTGTTACATGTTCTTTATGGGGTACAAGTGTAATTAACTTTACCTGAGAAGTCTTGACAGTCTGCCAAAGGGTAAGACTCATCTACACCCAAGATATATACTGTACTGTAGGGTCAACACTTAAGAGTAAACTACAAACAAGAAACATAACTAATGCTGTACTGTACAATGTCCTCTTCAACAGAAACACACCAGGGAAACTTGTCTCCAGATAAAATAAATTAAGGGACTACATTTCACACAAGAAAGATACATCAGCCATAAGGGCAGATTACAAGGGTAACTTTACAAGCATATTACCCACATACAGACAGTGTAGAGAAAGTTACCAATACTGTACATTGTATGAGAGGGAAGCTAGGTTCTAGAACTATAAATAAATAAATAAATACAGCAATACATATCTCATTAACACTCTAGTTCAGTTTACTATAAAGGATGAAGACGTAAGCACCACTGTTAGAAATACAAGTAAAATTCTAGGGATACAATAAAAATGTGACTGGGTGGGTAGGGATGGAGGGAGGGAGTTGGGACAGTAAAGAGCACATAACATACTGCCTAACAACACATTACTGCCATAACCTACAATATAACTCATCAATATAAACACTGCCTCTGCCGTGTTACTTTAATGTCACATCAACAGGTTATCATCTCTTAAAACAACAGCTAACAGGTAATACCAAATATTTTCTATGTCATTCGGTTAATAACATAAACAAGACAATGATTAGTTTTATTTTTCAGTTTATTCTCAATTTTAATACAACACCATTTCAATATAAATCTACATAAATAAGAGAAATATGTTTTATTTATTACCATATTCTCAATTTTAAAAGAACCAATTTCAATATACCATACAGTAACTCTTCCAGATCTTAAACTACCTGTTCAATCTATGGCAGTTGTGTTTAGATAAAATATAATAAATAAAGTCTAAGAATTTGTTTTACAGTAATGTCACTTTATGATTTATTTTGTGGGGTAAAGGCTTTTTCATTATTCTGTATACTGTACTGAATATAATCAACCCAGGAAAGCATTTATTACTTCTGCGTCATCTGCACGTGTTCATGTCCTTTCATATTATATTCATTATTTAATTATCTTTTTTTAAATGTTTCCACATAAGGTTATATATGAGCTGCCCCAAGACGCTTCTAACCTTCCTTTCCTTTAACGTAATATACATACTGTGTTACTCACTAGATCTTTTAAACGTTCATAATGCATTTTTGTCTGAGATATTGTTCTTTCCGTGTCACTAAGGCTTTAAATTTATTTGACACATTTCTATATACCGGTATATTACCTAACAGTTACCGTCCGTCAGTAATCCATGATTACATACTGCGTTGTATTTTGTTTTTTTAACATCGTGATAATAATTGTCCCTATTAATTGGCATTCTTCACTTAAACAGACATTTTACCACAGTTAGGATGACTGTTACATTCAAACCCTCTTCAAGAACCTTATGTACTTCTCAGAATAAGTTGTCCAATATCCACAATGCAGAAAATCAGTCAACTTATCACAGGTAAATAAAGAATAAAAATAATAAAAAACAAAAATAAAATAACAAATAATAATAATAATAAATCAACACTACAATGCTCTATACATCACAAAGTCACAAAGGATTTTTTTTTTCATTCAAAATTCGAAAAACAAAAAGGGTCAAAGAGCCATTTCTGGTCTTTAATATATCAAAGCTTACCACTCAATATGTGAGTTACCTGTGTACAATACTACCATTTTGGAAGCTCATGCACGGTCTCCCTTACACCCCGACCACGGCACAGGAACAACATTGTATCAATTATCTCACTAACACACTCTTCCTCCCACACCTCTATGTTGGCCCTCTAACCTCTAACTGCTAAATGTCTTTCTTTTTTTATAATTATGTCAATATTATTCTACAGTACTATGCCTTACTTCCTTCCACATTCTATAGAGAAACAATAGCTCTTCACTCCTCACTAGCCACTATCCTACATCATTCCAACAAAACCCTTCTTAGTATTTTTGTTTGTATAGTATTGTCAAAATTTAACCCCAAATAAAAATCTTTTTCCCCAGAGTATACATTCCCCAAACTGGCAAAATTATCTACAACCTGATATACTTTATGCTGTATCTACCAATTTTACATCTAATGATTGCAAAATTCATATCCAACCCAAAAACAACAGCAGCAAGTTAAAAGATTTCCTGCCCAGAATAAACAACAGCCTTGCTCTCCCTCTCTCTCTATCATCGCCGAAACAATGGCTAACTATGTCTTACAATGAGGTCCTGCTCATCTTTTCCCCCACACGTCCCCTACAACCTACACACCTTTACCTGCGTTCTCAATTAAAGCTCCAGGTGTCTACAACAGTTCCACATACTGCACTAGCACCCTTATTAACTCCTTATCATCATAGTATAGAGAAATATCTTCACCTTGATTTATGTCACAGGGATATTACTTCCTTCTTTTAAGACAAAAATATATAAAAGATAAATGTATACACAAAAATGAGTTGCACTACAGCCTCGTCTAACACAACAACAGGCCGCGGGGAACATCTCCCCGTGGGCAAATTTTTCCCGGCCATGAAATCCTTAACTATAAATTATGAGTTAAGTTGTTCCCCTGGAGTTCCATCTTGGTGAAAAAAAAAATCCAAAGCTCCCAAAACACCCTCAGTTCTACTCACCTTTTGAACAATTAAACTTGTCTACATATATATAGTATTTAAATAAGTTTTTCCACACTAAAATGATCTAGTACTATAATGATTTTGATATTCAAGCAGATCTCTACTGTGTATCGCATTTTATGTGGAAAAATGTAAGAGAAAGCAAAATATTTGGTGATGGTGTAAATGAATAAAATATTCCTACCTTGTATTCTAAAATAAAAAAGCAAGAAAATTCTGTGCAGATAATTTGTCAACAAAATGTATAAAATAATACAACATTATAATGAAAAATTAAGGCCCTCTCAATCACGAGATATGCATTTTTCAATACTTTAATACATGTGGTTACTCTTAAGTGGTAAAGCGTAGATGCACTGACCACTATCTCGCAGCCCTATGATCGCTGAGGTAAACTGTCAGTGTCACGGGGCATAAATACTGCTCTCTGTACTAATATTACTTAGTGTTGACACTAAATACAGTACTGTACTTTTCTTTCAGCCAACGTGTGACTGTAATGACCCACCTTGTCCTGAATTAGAGCGGATAACATCAACTCCATGTTGTTAAGTTATAAGCAGGTCTGCCTCTCGACGGGTCTGGGTAATACCGTGGGTTTCCTCCACCACCGTGGGGAGGTGTCATGGAGGTGTTGCCATCCGCTTACTCAGAACATATTAAGAGGTTCTGCATAATAGGAAGCAGAGAAGCACCTTAGCTTGAAGAGGGATGTATGTTCTGCTTGCTTGCAAATGCATCAATTTCAAAGTCAAGCCCTGAGCCTTTATCAGGAATACCTGCTGAGTGAAAGATATTGAAGAGCAGAAGCAGTTACAGCTTTTGTTGAAGCATGAGCTAACAAGAGTCAAATAACCTTCAACATGGTAGGAATATTCATTGGGCCCGCTTTGATGACCTCTGGGACTTAGGGCAAAATTTCCATTGCCTTGGTGATGGGTTGATATCGCTGAACGATGATTTAGGTTGGACATTGCCGACTCTGAGAAGGGACAATGTCTGTTAAATACAGTACAGTATGTGCATTGATTTATTTACAGCGAATCTTTCCACAGTTTCTAAACACATTATTCTTTCAACAAACCTTGGATGATATATGTACAGTATTAATAAATGCTAAATGTTTTCCAACTGTATTTTCTTAAAGGTGTATTGTTTACTGCTGGCAACATAAGTCTGGCATAACTGTAACTGGCAAATAGTAAATCAGTATTTGTTCCTGTGAATTTTCACTGCATTTTATTATTCAGTGTTGCATGACACAGCTGTACATATCAAATATATATTACAATACGCATTACTAGAGAGAGAAAAATGCAGAATCATGTACAGTACATCTCATGGATTACGCGATATTAGACTTGTTAAAACTTCAAGGAAAGACAGTGTGCGAACTTGTTGTTTTCAACCTACTGTACTATGGGCCCCATTAGTAACACTCCTCAAGTAATATACAGTACAGTACAATACTGCAATTTTATCTATTAGAAGATTCTTAAACCAATATCCATTACACAGAAGCAACTTTTTATGTTGTTGTTTTTACCAACAGTAAATGCCACTAACTGTGTTCACTTTCTTCCAGGTCTTCCAGCTTAACCTTTACAGTACAGTACAGTACAGTACAGTACTGTACTGTACTGTACTGTATAGCTCACAACTCATTCCTCAGCTTAAAGTTTCATCACGTTCATTTGTAGTTACTGTTCTTGCTTTCAAGAATTTCCTTATTATTTTCCCATCTGAATGCCTGAGCTCAGTTAAAAGTCTACCTCCATGACATAAGGCATCTGTTCACTGAGAATTATCAGTCATTTTAACATACAGTACAGTATTGTCTTTCCATTACATCTGCTAATAATGGCTTTGTTTTCTTGTTATGTCCTGTGACTTCAGAGTTTTCCACTGCCCATAACCTACCGTATCATTTTATTATAGTACATTGTAAACAAGTTTCTAAGACGAGGACAAAACAATTTACGTTTATGTACAGAAACACCAAATGGAAGACTGATGGGTCAGACTGCTGATGGTGGTTAACACTGTATGTACAGTACAGTACAGTACATGGAATTCACAGTTTTTTCTTTGTAACACAAATGCTAATACCAAACTGATCTGTGATGATTACAATACAATACTGTGTGGGTTATGAGATACTGAAAATTTACAGAATAATATTTAGAATTATTTTGAGTTTTAAATACTTTATACATTATCTTATTTGTCATGTTACTTTAGTTACGATACTGTAATGGCGAATTTAAAATTGCCCACATTTCTTTTAATATTCCATTCTTAAACTTCAAGCCATGCTGATATGAAATCGCGAGATCCAGGTGAGCACAGTCTTCACAACTGCCGTCAGCTGCATCATTTTGATGATTACATTCCATACCTTCACCTCTGATGCTCATCAATTCAAAATAAAGAGTTATTCACTTATTATAAAAGTTTAGTTCTTAACTTACCTATGTCGACGAACTGTCCAGGGTGGTTTTGGGGCTGTTGCCCTTAGCACAAGTTCTGACCCATCCTCAAATATGTTCATGCACCTGGAACATGAAATACATATTAACAGTATCCTGTACTGTACATTATAAACTGTACTGTACTGTACTTTCTTTATCATACAGTATAACATCATATCTAATAATGGGTTTTATGGCTAAAAATTAACTTAAGTGTAATGGAGACAGGAGGAGGAGGAAGAGGAAAGGAGGATGAAAGTGTGGAAGATGGAGATGAGGAAGGAAAGTATGTAGGCAAGATGTGACGAAAGGTACAGTACTGTGCCAGGCAGATGGAACCTCTGAAAGAATTAACAGCAAGGCAGGGAGAGGGAGAGAGAGAGCAAGCAAGGTGTGGGTGAAGAGGAGAGTAAGGACAGGTGTACAAGGATGGGGAGAGAGAATAAAACATGTAAAGAAAGTTATATGTGAAGGAGATAATGGGAAGAAACATGTAGTATGGAAAAAAGTTGGCTGGTGGGAAGAGAAGGAAGGAAGTAGTATGAGGAGTAAAACGAGGTGATGATGATATGGAGAGAGAGAGAGAGAGAGAGAGGTGAAACAAAACATGACTGATGACCCAAAGTGACAAAACAAATGACTTATGGCTGCGAATCCATGAACCCTGGTGTAAAGACATACATTCCTATATAGTGTATGGATGGCTATACTGACGCACTAAGTATAAGTAGACACACATAAAGGCAGACACACACACATAGGCAGACGTACATACAGACAGACGTACACACATTGACAGACACGGAGGACAGACAAACAGTAGACCATTTTGGGGAAAGAGTAAGTGTGTGTGTGTGTGTGTGTGTGTGTGTGTGTGTGTGTGTGTGTGTGTGTGTGTGTGTGTGTGTGTGTGTGTGTGTGTGTGTGTGTGTGTGTGTGTGTGTGTGTGTGTGTGTGTGTGTGTGTGTGTGAGATAATATAAAAGTGAAAGGTGAAAGGAACCATCTCTGAGTCACTGCTGAGAACCTGTCACACGAACTGCTCCTACACCCCCCCATCCCTTCACATCCATGAGTGTGTGTGTGTGTGTGTGTGTGTGTGTGTGTGTGTGTGTGTAGGCAGCCGGTACTTGAAGATGTATGGATGTGCGTGTGGATGTGCGTGCGTGCGTGTGGACATGCGCCTGTGTGTGAAAGTTTCGAGGCTTGCTTGGCCTGCTGTAGTGAGTCCGGCCCCCCACACACCACACACACTCTCATCCTGCCACACCACCATCACCATTACACCATACCTCACTATCACACACACACACACCGTCACCATCAGAAAATAATAATAATAATACTCGGCGGTTCGATATATGGCCTCTTATCTGGTTAATTTCGTCGATCAATACTCTGGCCAACGTTTAAAGAGTCCTCCTCTTCTCCTCCTCCTCCTCCTCTTCTTCCTCTTCCTCCTCCTCACTACAGCCCCACAACCTCCCTCTTTTCGTTTCCGTGTGGTTGCGTGTCATCTCTTTTCGTCCAACGTTTAGCCGTTTCCCTCCCACTTACCTCTCCATTTACTTAAGCTCCAATTCCGCCGTTTTCTCTAACTTATAGAATCAGTTGAGTATCCCCTTCACCCTTTAGCTTTTCTTTTGAATATTATTACAATAATCAGTTATTATTAAAATATCCTAGATTCGTAAGATAATAATAGTACATAAAATTATTATTGCTATTATTATTATTATTATTATTATTATTATAATTATAATTTTCACTCTACCGATAGTCACTTGTTTTTCAACTGACGTCACTGTTTCTCTAAATGACGTGACTTTGTTTATCCCGCTGACGTCACTTCCTTTATACTTTTAATTAAATGTTGATAAATAGCACAACGGTGCTGGTAATACGCGTTTTCGTCTATTTTCCGCCTTAAACCACATTTCTACCGTCTACTATCCGCCCAAAACCAATGGGAAAAAATATACCCTTTACTTTATTGCAGGAGCTGTTGCCGTAATGAAGGAGGGAGGGAGGTCTGTCTCCTACCTGACCAGCCACACTCGTATAATGGACAAAAGCACAACAAAAAGGTAACTACATCATCCTCAGAAGCTAAAGGGTTTTGGGGAGAGGAGAAGGGGAGGGAAAGGGGAGAAGGGGGGAAGGGGCGGGGAAAGGAGGGAAAAACTGGGGAGGAGGAGGAGGAAAACTGGGGAGGTGGGAATCTAGGGAGGTTGAATTGGGGGAGGGAAACGGGAGGGGGGAACTGGGGGTAGAGGAGGGAGGGGGAACTGGGGTAGAGGAGGGAGGGGGGAACTGGGGGAGAGGAGGGGGGAACTGGGGGTAGAGGAGGGAGGGGGAACTGGGGGCAGAGGAGGGAGGGGAAAGGGGAACTGCACCATTGTAAAGCCTCAAGCCACACTAGTACTGTTGTAATGGTCTTGTGTGAGAGTTATTATGGGTAAATAAATTAGCTTGGGTATTAACTGTGGCGTTGTGTTGTGAGGGAGAGGAGGAGGTAGGGAGGGGGAGGAGGAAGAGGAAGAAGAAGGGGTAAGGAGGAGGAGTAGGAGGGAGAGGAGGAGGAAGAGGGCAGATAAAGAGGAGGAGGAGGAGGAAAAGGTCAAATCGTGGAAGAACAATAACACGTTACCTCTGGAATCCGATAATTTCTTCCTGGATGACGTCATCTTACCTGTAAACACAAACAAAACATCAACATTAGTACTCAACATCACCACCACACACCTGTAAAATACAACATTAGTACCAACATCACCACCACACACCCAAACATCAACATTAGTACTCAACATCACCACCACACACCTGTAAACATCAACATTAGTACTAAACATCACCACCACACACCCAAACATCAACATTAGTACTAACATCACCAACACACACCTGTAAACATCAACATTAGTACTCAACATCACCACCACACACCTGTAAACATCAACATTAGTAATTCAACATCACCACCACAACCGTAAACATCAACATTAGTACTCAACATCACCACCACACACCTGTAAACATCAACATTAGTACTCAACATCACCACCACACACCTGTAAACATCAACATAGTATACCAACATCACCACCACACACCTGTAAACATCAACATTAGTACTCAACATCACCACCACACACCTGTAAACATCAA